ATGTACAACACTTTGCTTTGGATAACTCTGTCCAGCTCGCAACAACAATAAAACAGAAAAAAAAAACACCAAAGAACAAAAAAAAGGACCCCAAAAAATACTTGCAAATGCTCCAAATCTCGGGCAGAAAAGCCCGGGAAAGGAGGTGGCAGTTATATCCTGGCATCCAAGCAATGCCTCCTGGGAATTACCTTGGTTATTGTTTCAACATTTTTATCTGCCCGCCCTCGACAGCAGAAAAAATGAAGAGGGAACAGGTGAAGTGATACAAAAAGTGGGAGACTAGGAAAAGAACCCCCTAAAAAAGCGAAACAAAAAAAGGAAGAGGGGTGCATTACATATGCCACGAGTGCGTTTGGGCATAAATCCCAATTTAATCCATCCGGCTTTTAGTTTTGTACATTTTCTATCTCTATTTCTGCTGGGTTTCCCCCTTTTAATATACTATCCCTCTTTTTTTTGGTTGAGTGTTTCGCTACACAAGTTAAAGGTCTACAAATAATATTAAGCTTGATTTTCCTTTAAAAAGTTAGAATTTAGAATAGTTTTTGTTCTAACGAAAATTGTTTTAATATCTTTACGTTAATAAATAATGATGATTTCAAACAACGTATAATACTTTAATCTTTTATAGTTAAAAGTAAAAGATTGTTGTTGCAAATTTTAATAATAGATACTTCGATTTGATTTTTAGAGTAATCGAACTTCGTTACTGTCAAAATCGTAAGCAATTCGTTGCACTGTCTTGTTTTTATTATATTTTTTATGTTTTTTGCCGGCTTGTAGCACTCCCCGATGAATTTGCCGAAAACTGTTTGCTGTCCGAGCCAACATTTTCGTGTTTCGTATTTTAGTGTTTTATATTTCTACCTTAAAATGTTTTCCATTTTTTCAGACTGCCTACCTGCCGTTAAGCTGCGCTTCGGAACAATAAAAGATAAGCCGACCTAATCCCATGGGGATTGCCCCCGATCTCCGTCCGAAAAACCTGACATTTTAGTATGCCTGCAGCCGCTGCCGCTGCTGCTGCTTCTTGTCATTGTTTTTATTGAAATAGAAACTTATCAGTGGCCTCAGAAACACAATCGTGGCACAAAAAGAACACACAAATGGCATTACATGGGGTAGAAACTTTGATAGGCGCCGAGCGCGATCGCGATTGTGGAACAAACGATTGAATCACTCGACGGCAACAACTCCGATATGCAATCAAGGTCAAAGGTTCAACAGCGGAAGCTAGAACACGTCAAATAGTCGGCTATTTGAGTACCTATTAACCCTAATTATAAGGGAATTCAGTAAACAAATGAATTCTAAAAAACCAGAAAAAGTTTATTTCTCTATTTGAATATTATGTGTTTTGTAAAAAAGTTTCTCAAGCTTTGTGGTTGATTGTTTTAAAATAATATGTATGTATTATGTATTAATTATAGTTTTTAATAAAAAGTTTATTATGTTTTATGGAGTTGTCAAGCGCAACCAAAATTTAAGTTGACTGCATTAAGAGGTATTAAAAAGGGAAAAGGCAAGCTCTTAATATTTACGAGTCCCCTCAAAAGAAACTGCAAAAAGAGAATGTCAGCAAGTTAGTGACTAAGCTTTGACCTCAGCTCTGTACCCTCTCTTTCTACTGTCTTCATCTTTCTCTTTCATCCGACCAACTTAGTTTTTTAACCCATTCAACTTGTCACCCATTTTCGCTTATCAATTTCACTTTCAGTTTCCATTTCCATTTTCACAGCTAATGTGAATGGCGATAAGCCAGTTGCCTTCTCTTTTTTCTTGGATGCGACGCACGAAAAAAAATTTATTTATATTTGAAAACAATGATTATAAATAAATGTAGATCACACTAAACAATGTAGGATACAGTCAGTCACAAAAGTATTCGTTGCAAAGAGAGTTAAGATAAAAATGCAAATTTTAAATAAGAAACAGTTTTAAAATGGTAAAAAATGGTTTACGTTTCCAAAGATATATATTTTGTGAAGTATGTGGAAAAAAAACCAAACAGAAAACGCTTTCCATAAAAAGATATGGACAAAAATACAAATATAAACCGTTTTGCAGGGTCACAAAAGTATTCGTTGCCTTACGAATTTGTTATATTTTAGTATTTTTTAAGTTAGCGAATTATTTTTTTTTTGTCATTTTGGTTGCGTTTCTATTTTAAAGACTGAATTCGGGGAAAAACACCATTTTTTGGCGTCATTCTTGGTGTAAATCTCTAGCAAAATGCCGAAGGGAACAGAGTTAAACTTTTCACAAAAAAAAATTATTTTGCACCTACTTAATGAAGGTCGATCCATTAAATATATTTGTGGGATGTTCGATAGAAGTCCTTTAACCATAAGGAGTCTCATTTCTCGACTGAAATCCAGGAATTCCCTGGAAAATCTTCCCCGTTGCGGCCGTCCGAAAGCATTAACCTGCAGAGAAGAGCGGAAAATCCTCGAAGAAAACAAGAAAAATCCGCACCTTTCGGCTCCGAAAATTAATAGTGTCCTAACCACATCCCTGGGAACTAACGTATCCACTGAAACCGTCCGAAGAGTGCTCAGGAGCCAAGATCTGCATGGGAGATGCCCTAGAAAGAAATCCTTGCTCTCAGCCATAAATATATCAAAGCGGCTTTCTTTTGCTAAAACGTATTTAGACCGGAATTTGGAGTACTGGGACAAGTAATATTTAGCGTTGAAACCAAATTCAATATATTCGGATCTGATGGAAAAGGAAAAGTGTGGCGAAAGCCTTGTGAAGAGCTTAAACTGAAAAATGTTAAACCAACGGTGAAGCATGGCGGCGGTTCCGTATTAGTTTGGGGCTGCATGTCCGCTCAAGGAGTTGGAGAGTTGGCTTTCATAGACGGAATTATGAATGCTGAAGGATATCTCAAAATATTAAAGGAAAATTTACACTCCAGTGCCACAAAAATGGGTCTAGAAGGCGGCAAGTTCATTTTCCAACAGGACAATGATCCCAAACATACGGCTTGGAAAGTCAAGAAATGGCTGTTGTTTAATACCAAGCAGATCCACACTCCTCCACAAAGCCCAGACGTCAACCCTATTGAAAATCTTTGGGCCCATCTTAAGCTAAAAGTCCAGGAACACAGGATTTCCTCCAAGAATGAGCTAAAAGAGATATTGCTGAAGGAATGGTCGAATATACCCGAAGTGAGGTGCCGAAAACTACTGGAGTCAAAGCCGAGGCGCTTACAACCTATTAAAGAAACAACGGCTTGCACACAAAATACTAAATTTAAAAAAAAAAAAACATAAATATTTAATGCCGAAACAAAAAAACGAATACTTTTGTGAGACGATATTTTGAAGTTCTCTTATTTTCTAAAGGAAAAAAAAGCAATGAAGCTAATTTTCTAAAAAAAAATTTTATATTTTTTGTATGTTTAATAAGTGCGTTACCCCAAACAATAAATAAAAATATTAATTTGTTACATATTCATTAAAAAAAACATGTATTTAGTTGTAGGGTGCCTCGCAACGAATACTTTTGTGACTGACTGTACGTGGATGGATCTTTAAAAATGTTTGAATATAAACATTTCATATAAATGGGCAATTCATTTTTTTTAGTGCACCCTAGAAGCTTTTCAATTAGCTTAGGAAAATAAAAACAACTGGAAACCGGGCCATTCAACACATTGAAATGCATTTGCGACTTACTACAAAGTTGATGTCAAAGTTTAGTTGAAGGCCAACTGCAGCTTACTTCTTCTTTACTGCCTTTTCAGCTTTTTCTTTTTAAACCAAAGAGAAGCCCCACAAAATGCACCAAACAGCAGACACAATAAATGCAAAAAAAAGATAGGTACATAAAAATATTTAAAAAAAAACAGAAAACCGCCTGTCGAGACACATTTTAGCAATAAAAGCAAACTGCGAAAGAAGTGGAAAAATATAAGGGGAAAAATAAACAACAATAACTACAACAGCGGGCAGCAAATCACGGCGGCAGAAGAAGAAGAAGAAGCGCGAACCAGGTAATCAGCACCGCCAAAATGGAACAGTGGGTTAAAAATAAAAGCAGCAAAAGTCTTGAAAATATTTTCATGAACTGTATTATAATGCTACCTTAATTTGTGGTTTTTTAGGTCTGTATAAAATAAATTGATAAAATACTGATAGTACTGATAATTTCAAAACAAATGCCTTGCTTTATACCCATGTGGCAATTTCGCAGATTTTTTTAAGGTGTTTTCCCACTGTTTCCGTTGGCAGGAAGCTGGTAAGAAGAAGCATTGGAGGGAAAAAGCGAGCCAAACAAAAGGCAAAAGGTCTACATTGTTGAGCAGCTGCTGCTTTTCCCTGCTCTGCGATCGAGCATACCTGGTCTCCCTTATTTTACCTTTCACCTTCGCCCTCCTCGTCTTCCCCTTTTGGTTACCTGTTCGCTTTTGAGGAAGGAAGGAACAGAGGGGAGGGGAAGAAGTAATAAACCTGCTGCAACGACCCGAAAAATTTGCATCAGCAGACGGAAAGGGGAGGAAATGGGAAAGAAATGCATCGAAATTCCCATGTATTTATGAGATATTTACATCGCTTTAAAACAAAACATGTCACTCAGATAAATTAATACCAAATAATAAAACTAATTTTTCTTTATTCGATTAACATTTTGATCCCTATTTTAAAATATTTATTGTATGAGTTGTAATGATTTGTAAACTGCAGCGGAGAATGCACCCTTATTTCTGACAGTGCAAAAGTGGGAAATGAAATTATCGGAATGCGGGTGGCAGGTAACAACATTGAAATAATAATCCGGAAATTTCCACACGGCGCAAACCCAAACGGCAAAAAAGAAACCCAAAACCGAACCAAATCAAAAATAAACGAAATGCAATCCAAAAGAGAAAAAGTAATTGTCCCCCACAACCAAAAAGTTTGTTAATATTTCCCCCCATACCCAATTTTTCGGTTTTTTATGCATGTTAAACCAGTGAAAGTTCTCAGCGAACGTGTCGCAACATAACTTACCTCACTTTCAGTTGAATGTAATTCCAATTAATTGCTTGTCGATGCGAAATCCAGTTTCATTTGATTCTTGAAATGAAAAACCAAAAAACTTTAGATAAAACCGAAAAAAATTGATAACAATATTTTAGGTGGGAATCTTCTTCACAGTTTTACAGCATATGCAATAATCTTCTGGGGTTGTCGTTCATTAATCATTATCATTTGTTGAAATTGAATGTATTCTCATTTTGTTTTATTAGTGTTTATAAGTTTGGTTAATTTATTGTTAGTTCTCATTTTGTTTCTCTTATCATTTGTTTATATTTGATTTAAGTATAATCTTATGAATCATTTTTGAGATATCAAAATGGTAGATTTATATTACTTTTGATTGTTGTAGTTCACAAATTAGTTTATTTCACTTTTGCATTTGTTTTATTAGCGTTTTCACAATGTTATTGTTTGCTTAACAAATTTTTAATGTATTTTCTAGTTTGTTTTTATGGTAAAGAATTCAATAATCTTGCTACACGTTTACTTGTTGAGTTTTATTTTAGTTATATTGGGGTTTGTTTGATTGTCGGAAGAAGTTAATTAGTGCGAGGGAGACGGAGCGAAAAAAGCGGACAAATAGAAACAAACACCTGCAAGCATGCGCAACTTGCACAAGCTTGTCGACATTTACCGTTGTTCTGCCACTGCTGATGTTGCTGCGCATGCGCTGCGTCGACATCGACGTTGAAAAACGCTGCAACTTGCAACGATTTGTTGTTGCTGCAGAAGTTGTTTGCGCGTGCGTGCAAAACAGAAAAAAAAATCAAAACAAAACAACATTAACCACTGAAAACAAAACTCCGCGAGAAGAACCGACGGATAACAACGAAATAACAACGAAAACGGAGCGAAAACGAAACAACCGCGACGATCTCGATCAACGAGCTACTACAGTGTGACCGAAAAGTGTTTAAGAATTAAAGGAGAGACCAAACATCGGTATTTCCCCACCTCTCGCAAACTTTTTCATCAACCATGAATACTCCGGTTGGTGGCTATGCTTACCCTGTTTTTCCAAAAAGAAATCGTGACTTTTCTTACAATTGCAGAGATCGACGAGACGTTCAGTGAAGTTTACAACCTTGTTTTTTCTAGCTTTGTTTAGCTAAATTTGTCATCTCTAACAGAGAAACAAATTTTCATTGGCCTGGCAACCCTGATTTCAGCTGTCTGTAAAGTTTTGCCCAAAAATATTTCAAAACATTTTTTCCCCAGGAAAATACGGGCAACTTTGAGCCGGAATCTATGAGCTTGCTTCACCGGCACTTTGGCGCGTCCTTGAAGGGCATTTCCCGCATTTTTCACCCACTCTTAATATCAAAAAACAACCAACAACTAAGACATCCCTTTGAAACAAAGCGATTTTTCGCCGGCAAAAAGATGGATTTAAAGGAGCTCAAGTACCTTAATCAAAAGGAGGCCATCGACGTGGACCAGGAGCTCTTCACGGAGTATAAGTTCAGTGTGGATCAGCTGATGGAGCTGGCGGGATTGAGTTGTGCTCATGCGGTGGCCAAATGTTTTCCTGCGGAGAAGCATCCAAGAATCCTGGTTTGCTGTGGTCCTGGAAACAATGGAGGCGATGGACTGGTGGCCGCCAGGCACCTCTCCCTAATGGGCTACACACCCACCATTTACTACCCAAAGCCCACGGCGAAGCCGCTGTTCGAGAACCTCAGCCATCAGTGCCAATTGATGGAGATTCCCAGCGTGAAGGAGTGTCCTTCGGTGGAATGTGCCTCTGGTAGCTACGACCTCATCCTGGACGCCCTCTTCGGGTTCAGCTTTAAGCCACCGGTTCGCGCGGATTTCGCTGCCGTCGTGGAACTGATGCAGCAGACAAAACTTCCAATTGCCAGGTGAGATGGGTCCAATGTCCATCTAGAAATCGGAATTTATATAGACAATCTATCTTGTATCGCCACTTCTCTGTTCGAAGTAATGAAAAAATTTCCATGAATCCATCTCCAATTCGAGTTGATTTCATCCGTTCATCCAATTACTATTCAGTTATGTGAATTTCCGACCCAGATTTTAGGCTTCCGCATAAATCCATGTTAAAAGCCTTCAGAAGTAATGACTTATCCCTCTTGTAGCGTGGATATTCCAAGCGGTTGGGACGTTGAGAAGGGAAAGGTGACTGAATGCGATCTGGAGCCGAGTCTTCTTATTTCCCTGACTGCTCCGAAGCTTTGTGCCCGTCACTTCCGTGGAGAACATCACTATTTGGGCGGCAGATTCGTTCCGCCCGCACTGCAACGCAAATACGAACTGAATCTGCCCGCTTATCCAGGCAACGAACTCTGCGTCAAGCTGTGATTTATAAATTTATACGATGTCCAAATAAATAATGGACTCTAAAATTACGAACTGATTTGTTGAACAATTGATTTTAGATACTGATGTTATTGTCTTTTGTAAAAAAAAATATTTATTTCCATAACAAATGTTTATAAATATGTGAAAAGCTTCTCTGGTTGGGTTTTCATCAAGTTGCACAAATTATTTATGGTTTTCATATCGAAAAGTTCGGGTTTCCCCTTGTGTTTTATTTTATATATTACATATTATATAAAGTCTACGATTAGGAAGCCAATCAAGTGTTATTTGCAATCAGAAATACCACCTTGTTAGCTCATTATACCCCTGATATCTATTTGTACAAGCGATTGTAGTTCTTGCGACGGCGGTCCTCCTCGAAGTTGTTGTTTCTGGCCCACTCCTTGAGGTTTCCCTTCGAGCGCAGCATGGCGGACTTGGAGTCCACGTCGCGCAGCACGAACGGTGAGAAACCAGCAGTGTAGTCCTGATCCAAGGCGTTCGTCTTCGTTTTGGCCACTCGCGATGGCATCTGGCGGGGCATCGGTTGGTCCTCGAACAGGATGGGATTCCTCGAGTGCTTGCCGCCCTTGAAGCGCGGCAGACTCTGATTCTTGTACTTGGTGGTCAGCGGACGGCGGGTGTTGATGTGGATCACCTGACGGCCGTTCTCGTCCAGACTGACAGCCACTCTTTTCAGGGTTTTGTTGCCGCAGTTGGGACAGAAGACCTTGGTCATGATGCTGGTGGTCTTGTAGCAGGCGTAGCAGCGCAGGATGTACGTGCGCAGCTGCTTGATGATCCTGCCGTTCAACGCGGCCAGGTGGAGATTGAGTTGCTTCAGCACATTCTGCAGCGCGTAATCGGTGGTCATGCAGGCGACGGGCGGCACCTCATCGGTCTCCACCTTGCCCTCGAGCGCTTTCTTCGCCTTCTTGATGTTCGAATGGGTGATCCAGCCATCGTCGCCCACTTCTTCTTCGAGATTTTGGCTGGGAATCGTTTCTTGTGGTTCGGTTTCTTCGGTTTCCACTTCCGCTGGATGAGAAACCAGAAGCTCGGAGAGCTCTTGCTCCTCCTGTGCGCTGGGTGCACACTTTAGCTGCTCGAACAGCTTGTCCAACTCCTCCTGACTGGGCTCGTCCTCCTCTGGCTGGATTTGCTGGCTGGGAAGAGGTTCCTTGCCGGCCAATTGAGCTTCAATGGCTGCTTTTACATTGTCAACGCCCTCAGCTTCGTTGTCTTCGGGTTCCTCCTGGTCCTGCTGCTCCTCCTCCTGGGAGTCATCATCCTCTTCGTCCTCGGAGTCCTCCTCTTCCTCTCCTTCGGGCATGTACCAACCAACAAGCCTTTTGTTATTGGCATCCTGCATTTCCTCGGGTTTATCCTTGGAGGCAATGGTTTGCGCCATCACGGGCTCCGTGCGCAGATGGTCGGTGCCCACGGTGTCCGCTTCCAGTTCGTAGGTGAGCGATATGACCTTTAAATCAATCCCCGAGAGACTCGCGTAGTCTCCTGTTTTCTTGGCAAACTCCACGCAATGTTTGATGCTCTCGGGACGAGGCTCCCTCACCTGGAGGTCGAAGGGCAGGACGCACAGGCGACGGATCTGGCGTTTGTTGCGCACCTCGGCCACCACATCCGGCACGGTGAGCACCTGCTCTGCATATTCCTGGAAGGGATTTGTCATGGTTTAAATGGAATTACCAAGGGTATCTCCTTGAAGCTCACGTTTAGGGGCACGGCGTTTATGAAGGCGGTGGTGTCCGCCACCAGGAACTTAATCTTTCCGCTCGTTTCGGTCATTTTTTGTGCTATTTCTTACATGAAAAACAAAGAGTCGCAAAAAAAATAACAATTCAGCACGTGTCGGAATTAGTGTGACCATTAAGCCGCAACTGTTTAAGCGCAGCATTAAATGTGGTGAACATACCATATTAAATTTTAGGATCAAAGATATATTGTTCCACTTTGAACAATAATTTGTATTTAAACCGTTTTAAAATAATGTAAAATTTAAAAAATTTAAAGTTGTATTTTAAATAAATTTTTTAACTTTTTTAAGCTTGGGGAACAAAATTGATATAAATATAAGAATAAATGGTATATTCTGGTATATTCACGATATCTTCGTCCACTCCGGCTACACTGCTTATCTGCCATCGTGAGTGTCATCGCTAGTTTTCAAGCCAAAAATGGCGAAGTTTTCTCACTCGTTTCGTTTAGATTGCGAGTTGATTTTGTGAAAGGAAAGCGCAGGAAGCAAGCAACTTTATTCCGCCGGAGTCAGTGGAGAAAAACGCAGACTACCGGATCGGAAAGAAGGGGGACAGGAGTAGGAAAATCGCGATCACAGCGAGGAAAACGGAATGTGGGGCCATTGGCAGACGGCCGCCGTAGCGGCTCCTTTGACCGCCCCCCCGCCGCAGCCGTCGGTGCCGCCGCCGTTGCCCGATGCGCCGCCACCGCCGCCGCCCTCAGATGCGGGCGCCCCGACAGCGGTTCAGCAGCCAGCGGGAGCTGCAGTTGCAGCAGGAGCAGCTGCTCCCGTTGCCGTCGCACCACCAGCCACAGCCACCCCAACAGCCGCTACGGCCGCCACCTCTTTGGCGGCCTTCAACCCCTACAGCACCGGACAGGCAACGGCGGGCGGGGAGGGGGCTGGCAACCCCTACGAACAGTATACCGCCGCCCAATACGCGGCCATGACCCCCGAACAGCAGTACGCACTGCAGCACCACTGGCACCAGTGGCAAACCTACCAGGCGGAGTACGCCAAATGGCATGCCCAATACGGCGAGCAGGTGCGTCCAATCATTACCTCCCACTTAGCCCATTTAGTAAGCAATTTGCTTATCTTTTGCAGTACAAACGTGAAATGGCCGCCGCAGCTGCTGTGGCCACCAATCCGGCTGTTCAAGGTGTTCCCGCACCCGTGGCAGCTGCTCCCTCGCCTGCGCCGGCGCCCACACCAGTGCTGGCGCCACCTGGTCCCCAGGCTTACCCCGTTGCCCAGAATTATTACCAGGGTGTCACCGCTTCGCCGGTTCCCTCGACCACACCGAATCCGGTTGGAGTGGGTGGACCGCCGCTACCCGGCAAGATCATGGCCCAGCCGCAGATGTACAACCAACCGCCGCCACCGCCGCCGCAAAAGAGCGGCTATCAGACGAATGACAACCAAAGCATGTGGCCGGGGCCACCATCCATTCAGCAGCCGCCACCCAATCGATACCCGATGGGCTACAATAACGGGCCAGAAAACCATGGTTTTCCCAATCTCCAGCAGCCGCCGCCTTCGCTGCAGAGACCACCACCTCCGCATCAGCAGCCACCGCCGCCACAGCAGCCAAACAACATGGAGAACCAGTGGGGAAACAACAATCAACGCGGCGGAATGAACAACCGACCGCCGTGGGATACCAGTGCTCCACCGCCTGATATTTCCGGGCCACCAGGACCACGCTGGGATGGTCCACCGCCGCCGAACGACATGAACAATCGGTGGAATAACCCGCCACCGACAAACATCAACAATAGCATGAACAGCAACAGCAATGACAACAATCGCCGCTGGGAGGGACCGCCGAATCCAACGCAACCCGGCGGAGATCCACAGAACCGCTGGATGAGCGGACCACCGCCCATCGATCAGAACCGCTGGATGAGCGGGCCACCGCCGAATTTGAACGAACAGCAGCAGAACCAAAGTAGCAACAACAACCAGCAGCAACAGAATCCCCGCCAGAATCGCTGGCAGAACAACAACTCCGAGAGCGGAAACAACAACAGCAACAATAACAAGAAGAACAACTTTCAAAACAACCGAAATAGTTGGGGACAAGGCGATGAAAGGGGAGGAAATGGCAACCAGAACCAGAATGCTGCCACACGCAACGAAAATCCGTTCAGCAAGAATCCGCAGAACGATTTCGATGGAGATCAGTCGCCGCCTGGCAAAGGCAACAACAATTTTGGCCAGCGAACGGGCAACAACTTCCAGGGCAACTTCGGCAATAGCTTCAATAACCAGGATCAAGGTGGACCAGGCGGAGGTGGAAACTTTGGCGGCGGACGAGGCGGTGGACCCGACAACTTTGGCAATAACAACAATAATAACTTCAATAACAACAATCGCCGGCAGAGCAATCGATGGGATAACAACCGCAATCAACCAAACCAAAACCAGGGATATTCGGATGGCGATTCTGGGCCAGGAGGCTTCAACCAGAGTCGCGGGAATTTCAACCAGCGCAACAACTTCAACCAGCAGAACCAGCCAAACCAACCGGGCTACCAACAGTCGCCGAATCAGCAGCAGCAGCAGCAGCAGAACAACCGCAACCAGCAGCAGGCCCATGATCTCGACGAGGCCAGCTTCGACCGGCTGTTCGACCAGTGGGAGCAGCAGTTCGAGGACTGGAAGCGCGCCAATGCCAATCACCCGGATCGCGATGAGTACCGTCGCTACGAGGAGGAGTTCGAGAAGCAGCGCCGTCGCATCGCCGAGCGCAGGGAGCAGATGCGGCGACGTCGCCAGCAACAGATGGGTGGCTCCTCCACGGGATCGGGAGCGGGATCGGGATCGGGATCAGGAGCTTCTGCCACGGACACACCGAAAGAGGGAGCATCGAAATCGGAGGATCAGGAGACGAATGAAGAACGTGACTCTGAGTCTTTCGCTGGTCCGGGCAATTTCCCCGATCAGCGATCAGGTTTCGGTGACCAGGCGCCTGGCAACAATTTCGGACAGGGAAACAGGAAACCCGGCCAGTTTGGCACTGAGAATCGCGCCTTCGAGAGCGCCGGAGTTCCGGCGATTAGGGGCGGCAGCCAAGGCCCAACGCCGGGAATGCAGAATCAATACCAAACCGCCCAGCAAGCCATCCAGGAGAAACTGGACCAGCAATCGGATACGGAACAACAGTCCAAGGAGAGCCCAACGAAAGCGACTGGAGCTCCTGCTCCGCCGGTGGCACCTGGTCCCGCTCATCCGACCGAGCTGCCGCCGCCAGCAGGATCAGGTGCAGTTAATCCCGCTCCTCCGGTGGCTCCGCCCTCACAGCCGATTGCCAGTAGTCTCGGCAAGCGGCGGCAAACCGGCGGCACTGCAAACACGCCCGCCAAGCAGGTGAAAGAGGAGGAGATATTCACCATCTCGCTGGACGATGACGACGACGAGGAGGAGGAGGAACCGCCAGACACGCCGATGGGCAGCATTTTCAAGAAGAGCGACGGCATACCGGGTCTCGATTTGGTGGCCGATGGCAGTGGGAAGAACCCTTCCTCGGTCTTCGATGTGGGCCTCAAGGACACGGACAAAACAGACGCCCCTGAGGGCGGAGAGGCGGACGTCAAACAGGACAAGAGCAACGAATCGCTTAGCAAAGCGCTCAAGGATCCCAACTTCCTCAACAATCTCACCCAGGCTGTGGCCAACGTCCAGGAGCGCGAGCAACGCGATCGCCAGCAGCAACAGCAGCAGCAGACGGATCAGGAGCAGGATTCGGAGACGGGAGTGGACGGACGACCCTTGTCCTTTGCCGAATGGCAGCGCAAGAAGAACGGCGGCAACGAAGCCAAGTCGCAGGATTCCCGCGATTCAAATAGTCCCAGTGCGGCTGAGCATTCGGAAAGGAGCGGTGGACCTGGCGGAGGTTTCGGTCCCGGTCCTGGCGGTCCCGGAGGTCCTCGTCCCAATTCTCGACAGGGCTCGCGTCCAAATTCCGGTCCCGGTCCCGGTCCGAATCGCTTCGACAACTTTGGACCGAATCAATTGCCCGGCGGGAATTTCATCGATTTCGATGGCATGGGACCCGGTGGCTTCGGTCCGCCTGGCCGCCACTTTGGACCCAACGGGCCAGGTCCGCGTGGTCCCAACTTCGGGCCGAACTTCGGACCAGGTCCAGGACCGCACTTCGGACCCAATGGACCCGGGCCAGGACCACATTTCGGACCCAATGGCCCCGGACCAGGACCGCATTTTGGCCCCGGACCCAATTTCCGGAACAATGGCCCCAATTTCGGACCGAACTTCGGACCCAACTTTGGCCCCGGTCCAGGGGGTCCAGGTGGTCCTCGCAACTTTGGACCACGCGGACCTTTCGGACCGCGACGCGATGACTTCGGCGGGCCGCCGTTTGGCGGACCAGGAGGACCCAACTTTGGGCCAGGACCCAACGGACCGCGCGGTTTCAACGGCGGTCCGAACAGTGATAATCCCTTCCGCCGGCAAGGCGGACCACCGCCCGGTTTCGGCGACGATGATCTGGGCGCTGGACCGCCAAGAGGACCCAGGAACTTCCAGAACCGCAACAGCTTCGGAGGAGGACCAAACAACAACAATCGGAAGAACTGGAACGACGGGTATGTGTCCTCAATCCGCTTCTAATTTCCTTTCTTTTTTTTGACTTGATTAACACTATAAATTATACTCGTACATATACATTTATATATATACACATATATATGTATAGAACGCAATGTGTTGACAAAAATTGGGGGAAAGGGGGAAGGTTTGTTTCCCCCTTTAAAACAAAAAATCAAAAAAAAAAACAACAACAAAAAACACACTTTGGCGAACCAAAAATCTAATTGTCTGCTTTGTCTGAAAAAGATATGGGCGAGATTATCTACGCTTTTGATTTGTATGTGTTTATATACTTGTGGGAAGTTTAACTAAGGGCTGCATGATTAAAAGTTATCATTAAAAGGTTCCGAACTCACAGCTAGTAATTACATATTTGTGTTGAGCACAGCTGCAAAATGCATTTATAGTTCATGACTTGAGTATTTGTATGAATAACCCAACCAGGTGAATCGAACCATTATCTGGGATGATTTTGGTTTCAGTGTATGTCCGAGTTTACTAAAAAGAGCACTTGGCAGTCCATTTAGAAGGATTGTGTTTTAAACCGATTGAAATTGAGGAATGATCTATATATGATATATGCCTTGTCCTTAAATGAATTCTTCAGCGTTTGTTCCGCTCATTTCCCCTTTCCCGCAATTTGTCCTTTTCTCTTTCTCTATCTGTATTGATATCACCCAATTTTATGTAGTTAACTTGCGCAGGCCTTTTTCTGGTTATCGTTAATGCTGGAATTTCGATTCCAACCCCGTTTCTTCTTCTCTTCTACTTCTATGCAATACTGATAAAATACTCAAAAAAAAAACAATATTAAAAATAATGTTAAAAAACGAAAAAAAAAAAACCAACATAAAAACGAATACGCAAACGCTGGTATTGATATATATATATACTACATATATATCCGACCGATCTGTGTCTGATCTATGATCCATTGTCTGAGCAGCAAGAAAAAGGGGCGGTAAAAACCTCCAGCAACACCAACTGAGCTCTGAACTCTCGAGTCCGCGATATAAATTGGGCATCCAGATAATTATGGAGGGGCTATAGAAAGGGCAGATCTTGGCCTCCCCATAAGCGAACATATAACCGATCGATCGCAGAGTCCAGAAGCCAGTAAAGACCTATAATTAGCCATTAAGGATACACACTTCTGCCACATCTTTAGAAAAGCGAATATGAAATGGAAAAAAACGAAATGTAATTAATGAGACTAAATTTGCTGCTCGAAATTTGAATTTGTACCTTTATTTTGTTGCTCTACAATAGACCGATTTTCATTGAATTCATTGTTTTGTTCCTTAGTTAAACTCGTTTTAAACTCGACGCGGATAACATTTTTTCCCAGTTTAAATAACAATTTCTTAAGCAAACATTAAGTCTCGCTTTAGTTGAAAATGTAACTCTTTTATAGCGCGAAGTTATATAAGTCGTATATGTTAATTAAATACTATGAAATCAATATCAATAAAGGAAGATAAAACAAATGCAATCTTATTGGGGGACCACCAACCAAGAAATCCATTTGAGCGGTCCGATTGATGAATTGTCCGTCTGCGTTTTACTTCTTTGCTATTCCACATTCCATCCCAAATATTTCCGATCGCCAAACAAGGTTCCGGTTAATTTTAATAATTTATATCAACATCTGCGCTTAAGTTCTTAAAACTAGTCTACGTTTTCACATATGTTGCTGCCTTCCATCAACGAATTAGGGTCTTTATTAGATAAGAAATGCACTTGATATTGTTTTTGAATCTAAAAACTAAAATCCGTCTGTTGCTGGTTTCGTCTGTATCATATTTCCTATTATTTAATACAAAGTTTTATGTCCGATTACTATAAAAAGTTTGACTAGCGGTTTTTAATCTATAAAATTAGTAAAACAAAGATCGATTAAGTTCTGTCCGTATGTGAAAGTAATTAAATAAAATTAACTTTTGTGGTCCGCTGCCATTTGGAAACCCAATAATATGATAGTTTCTAATTTAATTCTTTTGAATATCAGAAATCACGTTTGAAATGCACTGCAAATAAAGTAGTTAAACGTACCAGTTTTCAATTCAGCTTATGCTTTGTCTGCTTAACTATGGAGTTTTGTGTTGATTCCATACAATATTTGTCCGATTCAGTATTGATTTTGTTATGCAAGCATTATACAAACCAATTAGAAAACATATTTTTATGCCTTTCCCAAGAAAGCTATTTATAAGCAATGCTGTTTGCCTAGTTTAAGTGTAGGGCCATAAATATATGAATCTATTTATGCTAGTGTGCAAAATTTTGGGCAGAGGGGAAAGTAGTTTGTGCACCGCCCCTACGCCCCTGCCACGCCCCCTCTCTTTAACCAAACAAAAACTATTTTAGTAAATTTCAAACCAAGTAAAAGTTCAAGTGTTTTTCTTTTGGTTTTTAAACATTGAAAACCTCATAAAAAAAATTGAAATCAAAAAAATGAAAAACCCAAAAACTGAATATATAAAACAAAAAAATCAACTGCAAAAAATTATAATAATAACCAAATCGTAAACCGTAACAAACCAATTGTATACTAAAATCGCCGATGGTGTGATCCACCCGCCACCTTCTTTTAAAACAAACAAAAAACAAAAACAAAATGTACGATAAAAAACACCAAAGGCCGGAGCAACTGGAGCAACAACCATTCCCCAACAACAACCACAGCAGTGAGCCCATCTATCGACCGATGAAGGTGTTCGACTATTCCAACAACCCATCAGCCGCCAAGGTGATTGACTATGGCCACAAGTCGGCCGACGGCACACCGATTGAGGGACCCGACAGAATGCCGGACTTTAGACCCGTGAAGACCTTCGATTATGGCCACTCCTCGAATCGCATGGGAATGCCAGGCGGACCTGGAATGGGAATGGGAATGGGAGGAGGAGGAGGAGGAGGAGGAGGAGGAGGAGGAGGAGGAGGTCCGAATCAGGGAATGAAAGGTGGCCCGAATCAGGGAGCAGGAGGATTCGGTGGATTCGGAGGACCCGGAGGACCTGGTGCTCCAAACAACAAGCGAAGGAATAAAAAAAGGGCAAACAGCAAAAGAAAGAGGAGCAATTGCAGTTCCCCCAAAACCGACAACTGCAATCGTTTGACGAAAGCAGCTCCACAAATCCCGGACAAGATGAGGTGAGTGTTAATTTTTGATGAAATCCGTTGCTTTTTAAACCTGCCAACGACTTTCCCCAGCAGCAACAGCAGGCTCCTGAAAATTTCCAGGAGCCATTTGGCGAGGAAACGGGAAACGAACCAAATGATCTCGAGGATATTTCCGATGGGGAAGAGTAAGTCGAAGCAATAAAAATGCAACTAGCTTTAGGCTTTTGAAAAGCCCAAAAAACTCATTATGCACTCTATTTACTTTTAGTAATCTAACGCCACTGGGTGACGTTGAAGATGACGACGAACTGCCACCGCCGCCGCCAATGAGCAAATGGAATCAGCAGCAACAGCAGCAGCAGCAGCAGCAGTTCAATCCAAGCCAGTTTCTTGCCAACCGCCGCGAGCCAGAAGGATTAGCTCCGCCGCCGCCAACTCTGTCGCTTTTCCCCTCGGCAGCCAATGCCAATGAGAAGATTTCCAATCCGAGTGCGGCTCCGCATCTGGAGATGAGTGTGCCGACCAACGAGAATCGCAATACCATCTCCGTGGACGAGGTCCTCTTGAATCCCGGTCGCCAGACGCGTCCGAAGCGCATCTGCATCATCTTGCGCGGACCTCCTGGCTGCGGCAAGTCGCATGTGGCGCGTCTCATCAAGGAAAAGGAACTGGAGATGGGTGGCGCCAATCCGCGCATCCTCAGCATCGATGACTATTTCATCATTGAAAACGATTATGAGGAGAAGTGTCCCAAAACGGGCAAAAAGGTGAGCTATTTGTATAATTCAGTTCAACATTTTACCACTCACAAACTCAACTGTTTGCAGATACCCAAGAAGGAGATACTTTACGAGTACGATGATAGCATGGAGGAGACCTACATGCAATATCTAATCAAATCGTTTAAAAAGACACTGAGCGACAATCTGTACGATTTTATAATTGTGGACTGCAACAACAATTCACTGCGCACGCTGAACGAATTTTACTGTCACGCCAAAGACTCGAATTTTGTGGTGGGTCCAATGCTGAATAATCTAGATTATATTTGGGGATACTACATGGATGTATTGCTTTGTTTTAGCCCTACATAGTGGACCTGCACTGCGATTTGGAGACGTGTCTGGGTAGGAATTCACACCAGCGCACCGAGGGCGAGATCCTTGCGGTGCTGAATAACTGGTGCCAGACGCCGCTGCAGTACATCAAACTGGACGTGAGCTCGCTGCTCGAGAACGTGGTCGAGATGGAGGATGTGGAGGACATGGCTACGGTAACTATGCACTAAGGCGATGGTGCGACGCGAATAAGGGCAGCTCTCTGCCCAACTCGCCGCGGAGCAGGAGCTTTTGGGCCGAGCCAGTGGGTCGTTGGCCGGTCCGAAGTGTTCCAATTCGAATCATGATTAGTGTTTAAGCGATCGATAAGAACGACAACATCAAACAAAACGCCTTTAATTCAGACCTGGCCTGGCCAAGTTGTTTCACATGCTATCTTGCAAAAAGCGATAGGAACGCAACCGTAGACTAAGTTCTTCAATGGAATTTATTTTCCCCCCTATATACGAACTTTATGACATGTGCCATATGGGCAAACTCTAGTCGCTAGTTTAAGAAACAATTACGACAACCTACGTTTAAGCTCTCCTAGTAAAGGCAACTCTGCAAAGCATTGATTGGTTCAAGCGAACGTTTTGTTGATTTATGGCGGCTTCGTTTCACTTTCAGGACGATAATGCCTGCGCCGACGATGGGGCAACAGCGGGAGCAGCCGAAGCATCCGAGGATGCCGCCGTCGAGGAGACGGACGACAGCAATAGTGGCGACGCCTCCAACGACGTAAGTGCTATTCGTAATTGCATCGACTGATTGGATTCATTTCGAGACATATGTGCCGGGTTGGGAAAGAGAGAAATAATGGGTTTGCAATTGAATTATTCTTTGCTTTCGAGCAGAATGTGTTCAGTTTGAAATGCAAATAACCTTTAATTAGATTCTTCTTAATAGAACTCTTAGAATGCCTAAGTAACTTTGCTCTGTATCCGTAAACATTTATTTCTCGTAGGTTGAAAAAAATCTTTCGGTTTTATGGGATGATAATAATATCTTTGATTATCATGGGATGATAATAATAATTATAGTGCATTGCTTTTTAAATATTTATAAAAACTTATACCTCTAGTGTTATTTAGTGTTTTTCTTACTGAATTGTTTAATTTCTTATATGTACTTTCTTACTGAATTGTTTTAAACTTATTATTTCCTTTATTTGAACCTTTTTGTGATCCTTATTGAAGTAGAAATAAGAATTTGTGTTCAACGAACGTGCTTTAAAAGTGTTCGAAAAAGAAAAAGTTTTAAATAAAATGTAGCAAAGTTTCTTTGTTAATATGTCTAATTAAATATCCTCTATCAATTGAGTGCTATTTAAGACGATTTATTGTTAATTTAGTCACATTCCTCTCCTGCAATTAATCCAGTCAGTCAGTTAGTAGAAACGTAGAAACGGGAAATTGGTGGCTGTTTATGTGGTTGTTTTGTGCTTGGTATCGGTAAATACTCCTCTAAATTATCCTGAAATTCTCCCATTGCACTCTACTTAATCCGGCCCCCAATCGTGCTTTCTGCGTTTCGCGTGATCCAGTGCGGCTTCCTGAAAAGCAAATGGGAATGTGACACCACCGAGGACAATCTAGGTAAGTCCCTATTCATATGTTCCTTCCTCTGATCCGAGAGCTAATCTAATCTTATGTTGCAGCCCGCTTGGACGGCACCAAGCGCTTGATGCAGAACCGCAGGACCGCCAGCATGGCGGACTATCTCCAGCTGGAGGATTGGGAACCACCTAGAACCTCAGCCAATGGCAAGAAGCTGGTGAGTATGAGATAACGATCGGCTCTCAAAGAAACGTTTCTTTATAAAGGGGTTGAAATAACAATAGGAAGAACATTTGTACTTTTTTTACTTGAAAGAGAAGGAGATAGCAAGCTATTTATATTGCTCTCTCTGTTGATCACCTATAAAAAAATTATAAATTGTATTTCAACTACTTTTTGGACACATATTAAACGCTAGGTATTGTGAACTTGTATATTACAATTTATGAAGCGTTGCTTTAAGAGCATATTTTTTGTGAAAGTCCTTTGCTAAGCCCATTAAACTATTTCCAGGTTCGCTGGGCGGACATCGAGGAGAAGCGCTCGCAGGAGAAGATGCGCGCCATCGGTTTCGTGGTGGGTCAGACCGACTGGAACCGCATGATGGATCCCAATGCTGGAAGTCGAGCTCTGAATAAAACTAAATACATTGAGCGCATCAAACGCCGCTAGACGCCAATTACAGTCACACGCAACTGACAAACAACACAAAACAAAAAACAACAAACAAAAGAAAAACTCGCAGCAATTCCATTGATCAAACACAGACCATTTCCACACGGGGATCACCACCTATATACATAGACAACAAAAGGCTCAAAGACTCCAAATTACGTTTAATCATCTGTCATTCGAAAGCTATCAGTATAATTTCTAAACAATCAGTCATTTTGTAGCGCTGCATTTACAAAACGAATTCAATTTCGTTGACCACACGAACATCCGCAATTAAAAAGCGTAGAAAAAATAGATTAAATATGGATGTATTTTAATTGTAAATTAAATCAATTCCTTTTTAACCGAACGGGACATCTAAGGTTTTTTTTTTAACTGACCAAGAAATATAAATGAATTGTACATTAACATAGTGTTTACTTTAGGTTTGGCGTTGGGTTCATCGAACTCCTGCTGTTGTCCCTGTTCTCTGTGCGAAGACATCCTGTCTCTGTTGCTCTCCGTAAACAACCATTGACAGCTGTTCGCCTGAGGGAAGGGTGGCAAGGGGGCGTGGCTGGTCGGGTGGATGGGCGTCGATGGGTTGCATTCTTGAATGCCGTGTGTGCCTGTGCATCAAGCTCACATGCTTGCCAAGGTGAATTACAGATGACGGGCTCCAGGCAGAGTTGCACAACACGGGGCCCATGTGGAGGTGGCTGGGATAGGATTTGGCATTAGGGATGGGGGCATGGGCTGTGCGAGAACGGTGGATCAGGGTTTGGATCGGGGGCTCGCACCCACTTTCATGCTGACAAGCCCATTGACACTCAGTGCTGATTGCAGCCGAAAAAAATAGCCAAATATTATCTTTTAACTTTTATATTATTAAAAATAAAAACTGCCCACTGAAAAGTTCATATTTTTATTAAAGTTCGCTAAAAATAAAATGCTTTTTCTAAATATTACGTATACGACGAATATTACGTATACGTAAAATTATCCAAAAACAGTTGTAAAATGTTTGGATATATAATTTAGTTAGTGCGGGATGCAGTGAATATTTTGTGTCAAAACATTATATTATTGTTCGTATATTTTACACAATTTAGATTAATATTAAATTTTGGGGCTTAAAATCCACATCCTTTATGACTAATATTTTCCACCGAAAATTCAGCCAGATCTGGCGGGAAAAGAGCCGAAGGCGAAACTCTGGCGGGCGATTTTCCGAGTCCCTGGCACGAAGTCGAACTAAAAGCGCTTCAGTTTCAGTCGAAAAACGCAACTCGAACGCAACGGTACATGAATAACGGTGAACTGCGAGCGAATCCAGTGTCCCCGAAATAACAACAACTCTCCAAACACCGAACTGCAGTTGAATCAAATAAACATAAATTTTTTTCAAGTTAAATATATTTAATCAGTAAAAGTTGCCAAGCTGCCGATTTGCAATCCATAAGTAGTGCTAAAAATTATCCAAGTAATCAGCAGCCGCATTTTGAAGTTACGTCAAAAGGAGTCGCGAAAGAAGAAGAGCCAGTGGGCAGCAGAGGGGGCAAAAGGGAAAGGGAGAGAGCCGAAAAAAACAACAACAAAGCTAAGGCACGCGATAGGAGTAACTGTAAATGTGGAAAGGATAAAATAGGAGAAAGTAGAAAATCAGCAAACGGAATTTTTTTTTTGAGTTCTTTGTTTTTGTTTTTGGCGCGTCGTCGCTGTTTGGTTTTTTTTCTTGGGGTTTTTGTTTTTGTTATTTTTACTTTCGGTGCCTGTGCCTTTGTTGATTGCTTTGCAGCCGGCTTTGGCCAAAAAAAAAGGAGGGACAGCAGAAGGGGGTGATAAAGCGAGGAGGAAGCGAAGGAAACGAACAGCTAACCACCGGGCTTATGTAAAGCGTGCTTTAAGCGTGCTATGGAAGCATGTCGTCCACTTCCAGCTCCGTGCTAACGTTGTCATCGTTCAATCTATTATTTTTCACCCAAGGTAAGCACTTGACACTTTACATAACTCCCCCATTTCGCCGCCCGATTGCGATTAATGCGTGTCCAGTTGGAACGCAGTGGTGGCTTAGGTGGCTGACCCAATTGGAGTCCAGTTGGGATGATTTCGCCCATGGGGGGCGAAATAAATTGCGGCGACTTATCTGCTTTATGTGGGAAATTTTATTGGCCTTCCAGGGATCTCTGGGAAATATATAACAATTAAAAACAAGCTTAGTTGGGGAATGGGATAAATTAGGATATCATTTTGATGGGTGTTCCGGGATGTCTGGGATATTTACAAATTAAAAAAAAGCTTAGTTGGTTTCCATAAATTTTTATGATACATATATAAAAAAAGACAAAGTTAAGTTTGTAATTTAATATCTAGGGAACATAAATAATAATTACAAATATTAACACCAAGGAAAAGTTTTTTTATGCACGTATAACAAATCTTTACGCAACTCTTTTCATTCGATCTTGGAATAAAGGGAATTCCAGTTCGCCCGCTTAGGTTATTTCTTCAGTTGTTTAATTTGGCGTTGATATGCCATGAATCTGTGCGGAGTGCCACCCACAGTCGCACGAGATAATAAATCTCAGTCAAAGTGGCCTAAGCTTGGGCTCAGCTTAACCCTCACGCCCCCACTATAAATCCCAACCCATTTGAGGACCCACCGAAGCGGCCTGACCAACTTGATTTGCATGCAAATTGCGTATAAATCCTTGAATTGTCGCTGCAACAGCGAAACCTCAGCGAGAAATACTCCTCTATTTTTGCAAGAAGATGTGGCAGTTGGCCTGGCCAAACTCATTATTTTCCTAATAGCTGTCGTCGCTAAAAATGTTTGCTTTTAATTAAAACGAAATTCGGTAACACCGTGCTGTTTGCCAAGACAAAATTCCCGCAGCTGTTCATTTGGGCGAATTGATTTTTTTTTATACTTAACTGTCGAGTGGCTTCCAATTTGGAAACTTTTTTGGCAAATTAAAGAGCCAAGAAGATCGGGTAGCTGCAGTCAAGGACACGCCGCTAAGAATTTTCCCTCCAATCGAAATTGAATTCCCCACTGTTGTTGGCCCAACACTGTGGTTTCAGCACTTCGACACCATCAACTGCACCACCGAGAAAGGCGAAGCACATGCAACAAGGGCTCTGGCACTATTTTTAGGCACTTGCCACCTAGGCCACAAGGAGCAATTAGAAGGGTTACAGCTTTCAAGCAGAACAGAGTCCGAGTCAGAGTTTCGAATGCCCTAACCAAAAGTTGGGCGAAAGTTTCAGTTTCGCAACTTTACCGAATTATTTTATTTAGAAGATTAACGAAATATAGTTGAAAGTACTTAAAATTTGAGAGATTTCAAACATCTAGTGGTTTCAAACATTTAATGCTTTCACAACAAGTTTTATACAATTGATCTTTTTTAAGTAAAGTATTCGAAACATATATCCAGACTTTCCAAATATTCAAAGGCTCTTCTTTATGGCGAAGGGTATGAAAAGACAATGCTTGGAATGTGTGGTTTGCTGGGGGCAGGTTTTCAATGTCAATGCCAAAAAAGGACAAGTGCCACAACGCACACAAGCAAACACAACAAAACAGGAGGCACCCTCACTTTTCACTTACTTCCACACATTTATTTTATTGGGGCGTTTGATTTTGCATTGATTTTCCGCTTGGTCGGTCGGCTTATTCAGAAAGCCAAAAGCTGTGATGGAAATTTTGATTATTTTCGTTGGCTCCTGATTCTAATTTCACACAAAACACACACACACACAAACACACACAAGAAGAGCGCTTTGAAATAGGCAATGAAAAAATGCATTTTGCAATTATGCCAACTGAATGGAACCAGAAGAACGGCGACAACAAAAACAACAACGAGTTCAACAAGTGGGCGGGGTCGGCATTGGGCGGGGGGACATCATTAAGGAGAAATTCCTGTTCCCTGTCCCATGTCCTTCGCCCCCGCCACGCCCCTTTTCGCCCATCATCTGCTGTCTGGTTTCTCCTGCAAAGCAAATAAAGTGCGAAATGAGAATTGCCGTAGAATGGTCACCGTGGGTTGGGATTGTTTTAAAATTCAAAAATATAAATGTAGAAAAGTACGTCAAATAAACTAAATGCTAAAAAGTGATCCTATATTATGAAATATTTAAAAATGAATAGATATAATATAATAAACGTTTATTAAATTAAAAATATTAAACAAGTTTCACTACAATTTATCAAATTCGTTACATTCTTAAACGGTATTAAGTCTACAATTTATTTGAAAAAAAATAAAAATAAAATCTTTTAAATCTCTGATATCTGAAACTCCATTTTCGACCACTGTGCTGTGCTGTGGGAAAACCCGGGTTGAGCCAAAGGCTGGATTAGCTCTTGTCGTGACCTCGTGGCCCGTTGGCATGCAAAATGCAACTAATTATGAATTTTAATTAATTCTGGCATTTTATTTTGTTTGCCGCTCCCACTGCTCGGCAGCATTTCTGCCCGTGGGCAATAATAATAATAAAGTGACTCGGGGAATTGTTGTAAAAGTCTTCTGCATTTTTCGCCGCTTTTTCTTTAGACAATTTCCCAGGCTGCCCAGGAGAAAATATATGGCACGAGCTGAGAATAAAAGTAAAATGTGGGGGGTTGTGGGGAAAACAAGAGCATTGAATGACTCTTTTGTTTGGTTTTCAGTTGGGCTCAGATTTTCCCTGTCCCGCCGTCAAGTGTCTGCCTTCTTTTTTTTTTTTTTAGTTGTTTCTGTCGTTTGATTGGGTCGCATTCGTGGCATTTTGGCCATGGGAGATTGCATTTCACTTTGACCAGGGAAATGTTTTTATTTTTGAATGCACACATTTTAAGGTATTCAGTGGAATGTAAAGAATGTAAAGTCCTTAGAAAGGCATCTTGATTCGTTGGTTTCTAGTATAGAATCCACCAACCGCAGGAAAGGAAATTCCTTTCGCAAATTGCAATTTGCAGCAGAAACTTATTGGCATTTTCTTATTTCGTATCTCGTATTTGTTGTGGGTGTTTTCTTATAAATTCGTTTTTTTTTACTAAGATATTCCTTTTTATACCAAGTAAGATTTCCTTTCAGTAGTTATGCAATTTTAATTTGCGAAATAGTTTTGCCTTTGTGTTTGTTTGTTTTTATTTGCCTAGTAAATTTCGCCCCCTTTTTATTTGTTTTCGTTTTCATCGCTTTCCAGTTTTTCCGGCTTTTGTCATTTATTTTATTATTTTGTTGTGCCAGCAGAATAATCGCATAGTCTGCTTTTGAGGGCAACAGCTGCAGCTGACATTTGTGCCTCCTATCTTAACCCCTATGCTTAACCCTGTTGTGCGCACTTACGCCTGAAAGCTTTATGAAATTCCAATTTAATGGTCTTGTGGCTTAAACTGCATTTTGTTCGCTGCTCCTTTTACCCTTTATTCCCATTCGTTTTCGATGGACATTCTGTGGTCGCCCTAAGCCAAATGCATTATTAAGCTCCATAAAAATGTCAGGGTTGTCGTTTAAGTACACAGAGAACAGGGCTTACAGGGTTGGAAAATAAACAGGGCTAAACCAAAAAACCACTATATCTTAATGGTAGATTTCAGTTAATTATCATACAGTTCAATTGAATATTACCTACTTTAAATACCTAATTTCTGTAATGATATTATTCACCTTTTAAAAAGAGTATTTTATTTTCTGTTCGTGTAGCTAAAGGTATTCCCATACACATACCCAATGCTTTTGTTTATTTTTGGCCCATGTGTTGAGGGGTCTTAAAGGGGGTTTGCTGGGCGTCTGGCCGCGACACGAAATGCAATCGACACTCGCTGGGGGAGTCATAAATATTGCAACACCCAATTCCACTCAAAACTGACAGCGCCAAGTTGTCTGGGCGTTCCCAGAATAGCATTTTCGAGAACACAATGGCGGGCACTCTTCATTAACCAAAGTGAAATCAATCGAAATGGCAGCCATTTCATTATTCACCAGTCACGCACCTTTGTTTGTGGTCCTCAATTAAATTATTTACATGCAAATTGAACATTATACACCCACATGTGACCAACATTAACAACTTTCGATTATGCAAACAGAATTAGTTAGCCGAGTAATGAAATTAACAACTTTACAGTCGAATAACACAGGACACATTTTGGCCATTTTGGTCAAGGGGATGAGTTACTGGCCATCATTTATTTGAATTTAAATATGAAATAAATATTACTTTATGTGGCCCTGAATGAAATTAGAAATGTGTTTTATATAAAATGATTTCTAAAGGGTGTATTATAAGGGTGTAATATTTTATACAAAAAGCGTGGGAAAAATGCACCAACGTAAACATTTAAACACATATTAAATGTGCAGTTAATTGAGGCAGAAAATTTGACGAGCAAATAAATTAAATCCGGTTAAATGGAATAATTTCCTGCGTTGTGATGACTGCATGAATGATTTTCTCCCTTTGAAATTGTGAGCTTTTTTCCATTTAAATTCAGAACCCGACAGAAAAACAGTGATACAATTCAGAGGATTTTGAGTTCAGCTGGTCTTGAACTGATACTCAAGTGGGTGCTTGAAAAGTTTGCCCCTCCGGCGACCCTTGAACTCTGAACTCTTCCGTTGGCCATTCAGTTTCGATCTCCCAGCTGGGTGCCATCAGCAAAACTTTATTCCGCCGCTTGTTGCTTCAATCGCCGAACGGGGGGGCATATCCAGGAAGATGGCACGTGTAAGGAGGATAAAGGATATAGTCGGAACCGCAAATTATGCAAAATGGCCGCAGCAGGCAAACAAGGAACGTGATGCGAACTGCAAGGAAAAAAAGGACAAACTTAAGACCATGAAAATTCAATTTTCCGCTGCAGGAGCTCTTTTATATATTTGACAAACTATTGATAGTTCTTTTTGTAAGCTTAGCTATTCAAGTAATGATTGATTAGTAAATTTTGGCATAGGAACAATTATTTTATAGTTATAAGAATTGTTATTTAACTAATTACAATATATATTTTATTCTAATCTGCTTCACCAAACAACTAAATACATTTTTAAATAGAAATTCTCACTTCAAGATTCTCTACTGTACTTAGACATTCCCCAAGTTTGACTAAAATCGAGGCGAGTCCTTAAATAATTAATTACAGAAAAGCGCAGTTCCATGAAAAGCGTGCTGAAGTGGTGTTGTGGTTGCTTTGGGTTGGCCATCGTGGGAATAAAATAAATAGGGGAAAAAGGAAAAGCGAAAAAGTCGGGGTAAGGAGAAAGGGGAAATGGGAAATGGGAAAGAAAAACTAACTAAAGTGGGCGGGGGAAAAACCATCACAAGTCCTTCACTTCTCACCGTGTTGTTAAACCAATTGGCAAACATTTTTATTTTATTACATTTCAGTTGCACTTTCTGTTGCCTTCTGTTTTTGCCTCCGTTCACCCACTATTTGCCACCCGCCATTTTCCGGTTTTTCCGTGGAAATTCTTGCACACCAGCCAATCAGACCGTCGGGGTAAATAGTTGGTAACTAGGGGTTCCGCATCCGGTTAATAATAAACAAAAGGTGTCGCCCGCCCGTCTGTCTCCGGATTTATTTACCCGGATTCCACCGCTTGTTTTGTCATTGTCTCCGACTTTTGTTTCTTGACGGCGGATTGGGTTACGTTTATCGCCGGGTGGTTTTTCGGATGGGTGGATGGGTAAATTGGTGGTTTTCGTGGGTTTTTTTTTTTTGTGGGCTTTTATTCTGTGGTTTTAGTGGCTCGACTTGGGCGACTTGGGTTTATGGCAAAATCAATGCAAACCGCGTCTAAAAATAGGCAACTGGCCAAAATGCGTCACGGCCAAAAAGCCCTGGGGCGACCTAATTAAATCGCTCGACAATTGATGGTTTGCCCATCGACAAAAGTGAGTGATTGAACGACAGTCTGATTGAGTGACCTTGCACTGAGCCAAGTTTAAAAAAGGGGTGCGTGTTCTAACTTAATTCGTAAAACAAGAAACAAAAACTAGATTTAAGGGTTGATAAATCATATAATTAATGGATTTACTCACCAATTTGTATAGGTTCAGCGTTTTAGTTTTTATTCAAAGTGTTTTTGAAAACATTGATTATATTTTTACGTTTTATTGAAAAAAGAAAAAAATTCTACTGATCGTGGGTTTCTATAATCGAAATGAATTAGTATTTCTGCTGTTTGTATAGTGATTGCTGGCATTGTATTCAATAAGTAAACTATATTTGCTGTATTGGTTTCTCTATGTGTAAATTTAGGCGTCTCCATTGGATTCGTGTTGAAATCAATTAACTGACGTCAGCAAAGGATGATGGTGCTTTGGGTGGACTTTTGAGGGGGTGGTGCATACTTTTCGGCAAGCAGATTGCGCCTTACATAACCACACATGGAGCAACTTTTGTTTTTCAACATACACCCGTAGTTGCCACCCCCTTTCCCCTTTCCCCGCCCCCTCCGTAGTTTCCCGGCAGGCGGGGAAAACTTATTATGGCCATTTTTGGCTTGTGCGCAACTTTATCAACATTATGGTTGACTGACTGACTTACTTCTGCCACAACTTGGACAAGGTTGAACTTTAAAATTTGTTTTATTTTTCCGCTCGTATGTGTGGGAAATGTGTTTTTGGTGAATGTTTGTTTGTTTTGTGCTCGGGATTACTTAGCGAGAAATGGCCAACTTTAAAAAAGCAATCTTATTAAGTTCGCGTTGCCGCGAAACTTTTCAGATTTCTGCATAACAGAAACCGAAAGATATTACAGTAATAAAACTTTAAACCATGTTAAATAGGCCACTCAAGAAAATCTCAGCAGGAAAATGTAATTTCAAAAATGTAGTGGAATTTATAAAAATGTTGTATATTTTAGGATGAATTTCTGGAATGAAATCAGGAAGCCAGTTTATAAATTTGTTGCACATGTTATTAATTATTCAATCTTTTACTTTTAGGTTTATTATATTTATTTTTTCAACTTGTACACCTATTGAATAAAATTTATTGCTGCGTGTAAAACGGCTGCTCCTTGAAACCTTTTAGGAATTCATTTTTATTTCAATATTGGCACCTTTTAACCGCCATTTTCCATTGAAATGTCACCCTTAAGCCGAGTTCCTAGGTGACTTTTGAAAGCCAGAAATAAAATATGAGGAATGACGTTGCCTTTCGGTGTTTATCGTTGTTGTTCTTGCTGAAGCTTTTCCCTCTTTTTTTCCCCTTTGTTGTTTCCTGTCGAAGAATCGGAAACAGGCAGCGTCATAAATATGTAAGCAGTGTGTGTATGACCTTCGCGTGTCGCAGCAACATTTTCATCATTTTCTGCATGCAGAAATACAACGACGTTAAATTGAGGCATTTTTTTTTCCAACTTTTTGTTTGCTTCCTCTTTTTTCTTTTGGCGAGCAAATCATGTTGCATGTTCCCACCGCTGACCTTTGGCCCCGATACATCACCCAGCCCCCATGATTTATTTGTCCATGGCCTGCGGCCTGATGAGGGACACGAATTGCAGGAATATAACCAGGGCCTCCAGAATGAAGAAGAACATCTAAAGATAACGGGGCAAATGGGTTTCCATTAGGTTTGTATATTCTATTTCAATTTTACATAGATAGTATTACCCCTGCTAAGGTCTGCAGATTGAGGTGGTAAATACCGCAGACATTGAACTGAATGGGATCCTGCATGATCTGCAGGGCGAAACCCTCGATTTGACTTCTTTCCGCAGGTGTCTGTCCTGGACGATCCTTCAGTTGCTTCAGCAGGTTCTTGGACTGCAAAAATAAATCCAAATTTAGAAATTACTAAAGTAATATTTTTAAAAATTCAACAAGTTTAGACTTAATCCTACCTTTGCGACACATCGATGGCAGGTGGCACAGATGGTGCAGATTTTAATTATAGTGGGAACCACTACGAACATCGCCTGGGCGAACACAAACCAGGTGCCCTGCAATGCCTTGAGGTGTTCCACCATGAAGTACACATTGCAAACGATGATCCAGTCGGCCAAGCAAAGGATATTCAGCAGGAGCAAGGAAAGGCCAAAAAGTTTCGACAACGAACGCGACATTTTGACCAACTGGGCGAAATCCGATCGGAGGGTTTTGTAATCCGTGCAACCATACATCATCCTGAGATGCAGCTGTTCCAGCTGGTCGTCCAATCGTTTCACAAGCAGAATCATTTGCAGATAGCGAGCACGAACTGCCTGGAGACTGAAGGCATACCGCAGATTCTCCAGATACAAGCCACCAATGCTGTACTCATAGTAGACTATGACTATAATACAAGCAAGTTGGATCAGCTCCAAGATCAGATGTCTATATATGAAGGCAGTTCCCCCAGTTAGAGGCAATTGCTTCAGCAGTCGACGAACTCGCCGACACTCAAAAATGGCCATAAAGGCAAACCATCCATGCACCATTTTGTACACAACATTAACACTTTGAATGGTTTTCACGAAATACATCGATATTATATCGTTAGTCGGTAGTTCTTCCCTGAAGTAGCACACTACTTCACGGGTCATTTCGATCACAATTAACACAAGGAAACTACTGCCCAGTAGACGACCCAACCGACTGGAGCTCCAGCCACAGGCCAGTCCAAAAGCCTGAAAGTAAGCAGTCAAAGCTTGTTCCAGCCACAGCGACATTGGGTATTCAACTGAGGAGTCCAGGGCTCCACTGGGTTTACTTTCAGTCAGCTATCTTTCAATTAATCAAAGAGAAATTTCCTTACTGATTATATCGCACCAATAATTCAAGGGATGGCCATAAGTTTGACCTAGTTTCTTTTTCTTTTAGAACCTATTTAGATGCCATTTTAATTGGATAACCTTGAAATGTGACCCGGAAATGAAGTTTTAGATGCCATAACTTTGCCATCTGATTTAATCAAATCCAAACACTCCTATACCCATAATTTTTCTAATTTTAATTCGATTTACAAGTGGCATATCTTTATGAATTTTTTATTAAAATATATATTAAGCTGCAACATTTGTTAATTTTAAAAATTTTTGTCGATGATTTGTCATTTTTTATGATGTATGTTTGCTAAAAGTGGTTTTGCAGAAAAGTGATCAGTCGAGTTCCTAGACGAACTGCATTTAAATTTTCCAAATCGATGACCTACGATTCACTTATGGTTTGCTTTCATTGCAGTGCTCACGGTTCTCAGCTCGACGATCAAGTACAACGAATACGCAACGGACAAGGGCGGCAATGTGAGCATACCCTGCATAGCCCAGGGCAACATAATGTGGGTGAAAGAGCACGGAAACAACAGCACAATATTCCAGGTGAGGCAACCATTATAGAACTTACTTACCAAAATGAATACCCGATTTATTCCCCGAAAAGACTGGTCGTGTTTTGGTGCTGCGGAATGTGAGCACGTCGGATGCTGGAATTTATGTCTGCTTCGCCTCAGTGCCACGCCCATCGACAACAACAACAACAACAACAACAAGAGCAACAACAACAACAAGTGCAACAACGAGCAATCTAGCAACATCAGCAACTACCTCATCGCCCAATCAGCAGCAGCAGGAGAGCGAAAAGCAGGATGAGGATGACGTGGAGGTCAGGGAATCGCCGAGGGACTCCCAGCAGGAATCCGAGACGGAGGAGGAGGAGGTGGAGGTGGAGTACCAGGCACAACAGCGGACCAGGCTCATCGTTCGCACCGTTCCGGGTCCAGTTTCGCAGCTCTACTTCAAGGCCTCCACCATACTGGGCTTCCTCATCTGGCGCTTCAACAAGACCCAATCCGGAGGATACCCGGTGCGCAGCTTTACGGCCGAGTATCGCAATGTGTCCTACAAGACGCCGCCGGCGAACGCCAGTTTCGAGCACGCCTGGAGTCGAATGGATCCCATTAACATAGCCTTCAATGTGGTGGGTATTATTAAATACTAATCAAAGGGATAAAGTATTACATTTAAATCTACTTAAATCTACTAAATATAATCTACTTAAATATAAACTTAAGTATATTTCTTTGATATGATATGATATCCAACACTCCATTTTCCAGCGGCAAATGGAGGTCTATCGATTGGCACCCAACACCACCTATGAGTTTCGGATATGGGCCAACAACGAGCTGGGCAGCGGCGAGGTGGTGACCACCAATGTGACCACGCTGCCGGAGACCAAGGAGGAGGGTAAGTACTCCGGGTACTGCCCATACATCCCCATAGTCATAGAGATCCTAGGTAACAATTCAACTAGGCTTAGGCTAGGCTAGGTTATGTTGATCCAGGCTAGATTATGTTGATTATGACTACTATTTATCGTACTTTGATTCTACTTTAAATGTGTAAACTGTAATTCTAATCGGTAGTTGATCATTCCTAATTTCCAATTGGTGTCAACATTTATATATTAAGGTCTTTCGGATGGGATTGCAAACCCAATTGAATTACTTTCCTTAAAAAAATATGTTTGCAATCCGATTTGTGAGACACAAATCTAGTTAATTGATTGGTAGTAAGCATTACCGACTAATTTAAAACTAAGTGTAAACGTATAGCTTATTGTTTAGTATATTCGATTCGATTTGTATTTTTGGTAATTTTCGTTGTCCATCTATCTCTCTCCACTCTCTCTCTCTCTCTCTCTCTCTCTTTCGCTCTCCTGTGTCTTATGTGTGTGTGTGTGTGTCTCTCTGTCTCTGTCACACCCGCCCGAACCAGATCTCATACGCCTTATAAAACCCGACCTAGACAATTTCGATCCACGCATTTGGATAGTGGCCGTCAGCATAGTGCTCGGAACCCTTGTGATATTAGCGATCGGACTCTGCATTGTCCTCTCCAAGGAGTGCTATCAGTCGGCGCAAATGGGTACAGAATAAGTCCATCAACTCCAGCTTTAGCTCCAAAAAAAACAAAAAAAAAAAAAACAAATCTCCAATTCCAACTCCAAAATAATCCCCAGTTCGAAATAACAGCAAAGAATTCCCGAGATAATCAGCAACAGAATCTCACCCGTTTTAGTTTTCAGTTTTTGTTTTTGTAAATGCCTTTTTATTTTCCATTTGGCTTTGCTCAGTTATCTCCGATTTTATGTTCACACATTATTTTTACCTGCATTGTTCAGTTTTGTTATGGCTATATTGATGTTATTTGGTGTCGTTGTTGTTGTTGTTATTGTCGTTATTGTTGCCACATTGCTGTTGTTGTTGCCGCTGCTATTGTTGTTAATAATTAATACCCAAATGTTGTGTTTAACCGCATTTAGATTTTATGTTTGCCAGCCGAACGCAAAACATTTGCTTTGCCGTTGGATGTTGTTAATATGTATACTTAAGACCCTTTATAATATACACCATATACATATATGTATATATATATATATGTGTACATAGCCTTAGTGCGGCTCCTGTGACCTGTAAATATAAATACCTACAAAATACATACATAAATGTATTTGCTATAAAAGCTCTGCAGGCGAATCAAATATTTATTCAAGAAAATTTATTAGCAAATTTCGCCCTCCTTTTTAGAAAGCAATTTATTCCAGCAATTAAATTCTGTAATAAATTTTGTAGGTGCAGTTTATTTACATTTTTGTAAACGCTTATAGAATCGTGCTAATAAATTATGGAGGGTTGTAGGGTTTTCTAGTTAACTTTATTTTTATTAAATCTAAAGTAGATAATTTAATGTAGAGAAACGTAGCAAAGGAAGAAAAAGGCAGCTACTAAAATAGAATATATATACAAACTCACTTTGCCTACAATAATTTTAATCAAGCAATTATTTAAAGCCAAAGACAAGGCTTTCCATATTCACCCTTTAACGTCTACATTTATTCAATAAAAACCCCTGAAATACAGTCTAGCCTTAAGCAATTTAAAATGTAATTTCCGCTTTTACGAAAACAAAATGCAAATCCAGTCCTAGACCAAAATGAGAAAAAGCTTTAAGCACTTAAACTGTGATAGCCTGCACTTGTAGCCAAAAATCAATCAATCAATCAATGGAAACGAAATCAAACCAAACCCGTCTAGAGGTCTCAACCAATTTTAAGCTTTAGCTGCAAACGAATAAATCAAACGACATAGCTAAACAAATATTGTAAAATGCCTAGACCAAAGATAATGCTTTATCAATGTTGTAAACGTGTATGTACTTTACTGAATATTATTGTGTTATTTGCATTTGCAACGGATAAAACCTATTAAAGCACGACAATTAAATGTTTTTTGAAAAACCAAACAGAGTGGATTGTATGAAATATTTCGTTGAGTATTTGATTTGGTTTTGTTTTGAGAACACTCGAGCTTGGATTTCAATAGAAAATGCACACGAAAACACACAGAAAGATACAACAATTTGAGTACGCATATGCAACTGTGTTCAAAATCATAGGAATATTTGACAATCGGTTGAGAGAAAGTCTAAAAAGGTTTAAAGAAGTTATAAACTTGATTTCCCTTTATAATGATAATAATATTTTGCGAGGTGAATTTCAGTTATCTATGACTTCCTTCGAAATATTTATTAAAAAATGCAATATATTTTCAAAAAACTATTATTTTGAACACTGCTGCAGGTACACTTAATTCTAGTGACAAAGTTGTTGCTTGCATTACGCATACGCCCTGTATGACGCTCGGGGGCTGAAGTGCCGCTTTTTTTCGAGTGTCACTTGGCTGAAGCGCTGCCTGTAAATATTTGTGTTAAACTGTTGCACACGTACACTCAGAAAAAATAATAAAAACACACCCCCAAACATACACACACACACACACACTCACTCAAACACCAACACAAACAATGAAAATCCTTAGAAAAAGGTAAAGTACTGAAAAATTATCAAAAATCTATCTAATAAATGTGTTTATTCTTCTCTCTCTCTCTTCCTCTTGTTCTCTCATCCTCTCTATATCTTTCCTTCAAACAATAAATTGGATGATTACGTTAATGATCATACATTTTAATTGGATTTTTTTCGATATCCAAAGAACTGCAAGATGGTTGGGACAGCATTGAGCTTATACCGAACATAATATTGAATCCCGGTTTCAGCGAGTCGGACGGCGGACCAGGTGGTGATGGTGAAGGTCAGGCGGGTGGTGCTGGTACCGGTGGCGATGGCGAGGATGAGGATGAGGAGGACGTGGCCATGCCCTTTCCACGCACCATCATCTTCGGGCAGCACCATCGAACGCCGCCGCCGCCGCGCTTGCATTTGCCGCCGCAACAGCACCACCTGCATCCGTTTGGCCACCACTCGAACCAGAGCCACCACCACCAGTACCACCATCAGCAGCACCATCGGCGGCAGGACGAGGACGATGACGATGACTACGAGGAGGAGCACGAACCCACCATGGAGCGATTCAAGCGCAAAGTTTCCGTCTTCTTCACCGGCCCCACCATCAAGCGAATTTGAGGCATACTCATCGTATTTGATGAGAGTACAAACACTGGTCACAACAGGTCGCCTAGGTTGTTGCATTCCTTGCATTGCATTGGTTTGATCGGATAGTTAGGATCCAACACAACAAACACACACACACACACATATATATATGTACCTATACTCGTATATGGAGCTTATCGGTCGAAACTTTCGTTTTCATTTCGGTTTCCTGAGAAAGCTTAAAACAAATGCAGAATACCCAAATGGCCCGTTAATTTATTGCTCATCGCCGCCGCTTCTATCCGGATCAGAACTATATAGTATATATACACGTATTATAAATATAAACCAAAACAAATATATTGCTGTGATACAAATTCAATTGAACGGACATTGTAAGGATTTACCATAAAGCACACGAAACGAGATGAACACCAAAATCCAGTTATTAACCATCATGAATTTGCTGAAGCTCGTAGACGAATACCCAATTGAATTTTGCCCAGTTAAACACGCCATCTGAGTTACAGCAACTGGATTACTCAGATATCCAGGTATATAGGACAGAATTTAGCGGACAAGTTTGCTTAGAGCCACAGAAAACTCACGAAAAGATAGATCTGTTACCAAAGCACTTTCTTAAACTTCAATAGTTTTAATTTGTCCGTTGGTCTGAAAGCTAAATATTAGATAATACTTACCTCATATTACTTAATTTAGAGATCCATTATAAATAAATTCAAGTAATGTGTAACAGATCTCAAATAGTCCAGATCCCCGACTATATTGTCTTGGTTTTGATTCTGTTGTAACGATTAAACAAACTGTGAAACAATTTTATAATTGAGCAAATATTTTGCACTGTAGAGCGCACCAAACGATCTATATATAGATATATATACATATATATATTTAAAGTCGATAAAAACGTTTGATAAACATTTTAAATAAATGGCAAAATGCCTTGTGCTTTAGTTCGGCCTCAAAGCTAATTAAATTGAATATGATATAGGAATATTTATGAACGTAGTTAAAGTAGCTGGGAAACCAAATATTCAAAACAAAAAAGAAAAAAATCTATGAAAAACTGCTTCCACTCACAGAAAACAAAATTGAAACAATGAAATTGTTATAAAAGATAAATCAAAACTAATTTTAAACAAGCGAATATTGTGTATATATACCGATGCAACAACAAATTATATAGAAGTGTGTATACACATGTGAAGGATGTACATAAAGATAGCGAGTGGGTATCTTAAGAAAGACTGTAGTTAATGTTTAAGACACTTAGGCCTGCGCTTATACCAATTTTTTGGGGCCCAACTTGGCCCGCATATTTTTGGTTGCATTCGATCTGCTAATAGCTACAAACAAGTATATAGAAATAATATTTCTAACAATTCGGAATGTGCACTTAACTAAACAAGACAAAAAAAAAAAAAAAAACAATACCCGAAAAAAAACACAAATAGAACGAAATTGAAATTGAATAAGCAAAAGTCATTCGCCTAAGCCCCGATCCTAAAACTCTTGGCTGTATTTCTAATTGTTATTGCTTCAGGTTGAGGTTTATTGTTATTGCGCCAGCCTGCCGTCAGCGAAATCGCCCCTAGTCACTCTAAAGATATTGTTTTCTAATCCGAGGCTTAGCTTTAGACCTCGCCACCACAAAAACACAGACAACAATAAAATAAATCTAAGTTTACAAAACCACACAACGATTTTTAATGGGATTATATGATATATTGGCTATCTTTTAAATGGAATTTTAATTTTAATGAATAACTATTTGGATCTTATATGATTATAGAGTATATTTGTAAGACAATTAGTTTTTAAAAATTTCTTAAGGATTCTATTTTAAATATTGAAATGTTTTATTAAAATATGTTATTCTTCAATATTTGAATTTATGTAAATTTCTTCTTGTTGTTACCAATGTGAATAGGTATTTTAAATATTATTTATCTTTTGAATTTATAGATAACCCAAGTTTCTCAAACCCACAAATGACTAGATCGTAAGTGTTATTTTTTAAACATTTGTAAAACTTTCAGTTTTTAAAAATTTCTTAAGGATTCTATTTTAAATATTGAAATATTGTATTAAAATATGTTATTCTTCAATATTTGAATTTATGTAAATTTCTCCTTATTGTTACCAATGTGAATAGGTATTTTAAATATTATTTATCTTTTGAATTTAGAGATAACCCAAGTTTCTCAAACCCACAAATGACTAGATCGTAAGTGTTATTTTTAAGCTCTTTATCAAGCGTTTATTTGCAGTTGAATTTAGCGATCTGCTCGTTACATGGTTGAGGAATCTCAAGAAAGGGGCCAATTCGGGTTCAACTTAGTGGCTACAGTGCTCCGCAGGAAGCGTCGTTGTGTGTGTGCGGGTGTGTGTGTTGGTTGTTCCATGCTCCAGTCCCAGGGATTATCCTACTGGTAGTCCTTGCTGTCCTGGTTGTTGTTGTTCCACGCCTGGTGGACACCGTGGTAGCTGCTCTGCTTCTGGGCGGGAGCGTTCCTGCCGAAGGGGCTCTTGGGGTTCACCTGCAGGATGTAGTCGCCCTCGAGATCGTGAGCAGTGTCGATGCCCATGTAGGCCCGCTTGCCGAAGCCATCGTTCTGCTTGTACTGCTGCAGCGAGTTGGCCGGAACGGCGGGGAAGCTCCTCTCGTTGCCGGGACGCACCGACTCCGCGAAGTAGCGGGTGGCACGCATGGCGGCCTCCACAACGTTGCTGGCACCGGGCACTCCGGCCGAGGGTCCATTGGGATAGAAGTCCACGTCGCCGGAGCGGATGGGAGTGCCCATGCCGTAGACCGAGGTGTGGATGGCGTCGACGAACTCGGCATCGCCGCGGGCCAAACCGGTGAGGGTGTTCTTGCTCTTGGCCACAATCTTGGAGGGATCCAGTCCGGTGACGCGACGCAGCTTGTGTCCGGTCAGACGGGTGAACTCCTGGGCAGCGGCACCGGCCACATGGGCGCCCACATTCTGGCCAATCAGATGGATGGTGTCGTGGGGCATGTCCAACTCGTTCACCATCTGGACAATCCACTTGCCAATCTTGGCGCCGGTCTTCTCAATATCGAGCATCGCATACCGCTGGTAGTTGTTCAGCTTGGAGCCCAAGTCGATGACGATGATGTCGCCGCTCTGGGTCCGGCCGCTCTTCACCTCATCGCTGTAGTCCTCCTCGCTGCTGGTGCGCTGGTTCTGGCTCTGCTCCTGGTAGTCCTGGCTGTCTCGGGTGTTCTTGCCCTGGCGACGCTGCTGCTGCAGATTGTAGCGCTGCATGTAGGCCTGCACCAGCTTGCGGGTCGCCTTCTTCACCGTCTCCGTCGTCTGGGGCAGTCCGGTCACGATGATGGTCACCTCGTCGTCGCCGAAGTTCTGCTTCTCCTGCTTCAGCCGCTGGATCATCTCGTTCAAGGGGGCCGTGGTCTTCTCTCCGTTCGGCTTGGGCACGTAGGCCTGGATGCCGCTGGGCACGAAGTTGGGCTCCACGTTGTGGTGGATCTGCGACAGGTGGTCTGAAGTATGTAGAAAATTAAAAAATTTATATATTTTTTATATTTTTTTATAGGCAGCAGCAAAAGGGAGACCTTTTCTAAGAAGTTTTCATGGTTAATTTTTAAAGGATCCATTCAATTTTCAAATTTTATGTCTGCGTGTTTCGATTATTATATAATATGTTAATAATTCTGCAGTTCTAGTATAACTAATGAATCAATCTAGTTTTCTATTATATTAAGTACTTCTGTGGATTTTCTTTGGATTTTTAAACCATGCCAAGAGATTTATGGAATGAAGTGGGACTCACAAACTTGCTGCAGAAGCTCGGCGCCGCGCTCGAGGTTCATGTTCTCCAGACGCTCGATGGTGAGGTCGTCGACGGCGGGAATGGCCTCCAGCTGGGATCCGGAGAGCCACTGCGAGGGCTTCAGGGCCTGGCTGACCGAGTTGTCCATGCGGCCATTGGGCTTGGCCAAAACGGCGACCGCCAAACAAGCCAGAAGGCTCAGAACTCTCATGGGATTCATGGTACGGATGCGGGATCGGATTGCGACTTCAACGCTGAGTGAGTTGAACTGATTTTCCAAATCCCAAAACTCGGCTTATATAGCCCGAAGTTTTCCCACTTTCAGACCCTCTTTCCGCTGGGTCAGGTTTAATCGGTGGCCATCATCGCTGAGTAAGGGTTTCTGCGGCCTGGGAATCGGATGAGTATACTATCTCATCGGTAACTGAATAGTATACAAAGTATATACAAAGTCGGCACGGGGCTACCTATAGCTGACCCCACTGATGACTTAGCACCTGCGGCCGACTGATAATTTCAATTTGTAATCACTTTGTAGGCTCCTCTGATTGCAACATTGTAGTTTCATTCCGGAACTACTTAAATTTACATTAGATATTTATCATACATTATCCCTAATCTAATTATTTTAAACCCTTTTCAACTTGTTCTATATTTTATATCAATATGCGTACTTTTCTACTTTCACCTTGCTTAATTAATGCACTTGAATTTTCCATTTCCAATTCAAGGCCAAACTGCAGTTCATTGATTCCAGATTTTTGCCCTTGATACAAACAGTTTTGAATGTGGAATGTTTTTTTTAGTTTCTAGGGCAGATAGTAAAGGTTTACCTATATACCTAAATATTACGCTATGAACTTTTTAAATGAATAACGCGTGTAGTTTGTTTTTGGACTTAACATTTTTTTAATAATTGAAAATTTAGCTGCTGCTATGTTTCTAATATATTTTCATTTCTTAAACATTCACATAGTGACACCCTGATTTCAGCTTCAATATTTTAACACTTTGTTGACTCATTCCTTTTCCATAAATTGTTGTGTTATTGAAATGTGAACCCATTTAAAGACTTTGTTATAGATTGTATTTATATATTTTTAATTTACCAGTGAAATTTGAGCTTGGATAAATTGAAAATGCAAGTAAAGCTTATTGAAATTTATAAATATTCAACTGGTGTCATAATAAAAGTGTGAAAACTTACCTATTCGATATGAATTAGGTGACAATTGTATTTTTATAAATTTTACAACAAACACACATAAACAAACATATTATTGTTAAAGTATTTTTTATAAACAAAGCCTCGGCTTGTTGACCCCTTCATGAGTTCAAGTCGTGCCTCTTTGGCAAGCCCCCTTTATGGCTAGACCCCCTTTTGTTTACATTATGCAAGTGCTGTTCAAGAAGTTTCCCAATGCGTCGATAAAAATATTGGAGCTCATCAGAAGTGTTGCAAAACCGACGACGCGGCGAAACTATATTTGTGCTGATCTAGAAATCGGTTGCTGAATCAATTGCTTCCGGCGTGTGCATTATACTAGGTAAACTCATTCCCCATTCGCATACGAGGAGGGCCCTATAAAAAGCGAACCGATCGAGGGACTAGCCATGCAGTACAATTTGGTACGGTGTCTGAAACAGTCGAACTTGGAGAGCCGCAATGAATCCTCTGCGCAGCCTGTGCGTTTTGGCCTGCCTCCTGGCGGTGGCCATGGGTAATCCCCAGACCGGAAACCGCTCCGGTCGCCGGTCCAACTCCCTGGACAACGTGGAGCAGCCGAGCAACTGGGTGAGCCCCCGCGAAATCGAGAATCTGCCCTCCCTCAAGCAGGTCACCCTCAACAAGCTGCAGGAGATGAGCCTCGAGGAGGGTGCCACTCTGCTGGACAACCTCTGTAAGTTAACCCCCTAAGTTTCCCCCTTTAAATTGAACTAACTAATGGGTAATTAAACCACAACTATTTATCGTAGATCACCTGTCCCAGTTCAACCGCGTGTTCAAGCCCGATTATACCCCGGAACCCAGCCAAATCAAGGGATACATTGTCGGCGAGCGCGGCCAGAAGATCGAGTTCAACCTGAACACCTTGGTGGAGACCGTGAAGCGTCAGCAGAACTTCGGCGACGACGAGGTCACCATTTTCATCCAGGGCCTGCCCGAGTCGAACGCGCAGGTGCAGAAGGCCACCAGGAAGCTGGTGAATGCCTACCAGCAGCGGTACAACCTCCAGCCCTATCCCACCACCGATTCGTCCAGCGAGGAGCAGCGCCAGAGGAGCAGCAGCGAGGAGCAGCCGCAGCAGCAGCAGAGCAGGAAGCAGAACGATGACCAGGAGGACAAGAAGAGCGGTGACCTGATCGTGATCAAGCTGGGTAATGCCATCGAGGACTTCGAGCAGTTCGCCACCTTGAACATTGAGCGCGTGGGCGAGATCATTGGCAACCGCCTGGTGGAGCTGACCAACACCGTTAATGTGCCCCAGGAGATCATCCATGTGATTGGCTCCGGACCGGCTGCCCATGTGGCCGGAGTCGCTGGTCGCCAGTTCACCCGCCAGACTGGACACAAGTTGCGCCGCATCACCGCTCTGGATCCCTCCAAGATCTACGGCAAGCCCGAGGAGCGCCTGACCGGCTTGGCCCGTGGCGATGCCGACTTCGTTGATGCCATCCACACCTCCGCCTACGGAATGGGAACCTCGCTGCGTCTGGCCAATGTGGACTTCTATCCCAATGGACCCTCGACCGGAGTGCCCGGTGCCGACAACGTTGTGGAGGCCTCCATGCGTGCCACCCGCTACTTCGCGGAGTCAGTGCGTCCCGGCAACGAGAGGAACTTCCCCGCCGTGGCCGCCAGCTCGTACCAGGAGTACAAGCAGAACAAGGGCTATGGCAAGCGCGCCTACATGGGCATCGCCACCGATTACGATCTCGAGGGCGACTACATGCTGCAGGTGAACTCGAAGAGCCCCTTCGGCCGCAGCACTCCCGCCCAGACCCAGCGTGGCTACCACCAGGTGCACCAGCCGTGGCGCCAGACCAACTCCAACGGCCAGCAGTCCTCCTCCCGCCGCCAGTAGATCGAAATTGTGGTCGGGATTGCGGACCATGACGACCAGATCGCACACCCCTCATGCGAGCGAACCACCCAAAGCTCATTCTCATCCAAGTAACATCCACTATGTGTAATTACGCTTCGTTTTTTAATTCAAAATAAAAAACCATTGCAATTTTTAAATATTTCAAAAGAGTCGAAAATGGGTAGCAAAGTTAAGAGAGGATCATGGATAAGACAAAGAAGAGAAAGGTATGTTAGTGTAAGAGCTATTTTTCCGTTATCCTGTCCTAAAGCTCTCTTCGTTATCGCTCACCTGCATCTCGAAGTTCTCTTTCTTCTTCTTTTCTTGTGAGTGTCGGCTGCTGTACCGCGTGCAAAAATCATAGTTAATTAAATTATAGTTCGTTTTGATTGTATAAAGTGTTAAAGTTGTGTTTAATTTGTTGTTTAAGGCTTATACTTTGCCGGGGATATGAAGTTTGTTAAACATTTAGCGTTTAATTAAGTGAAATCTGTGTTTTTCGGGAATTTAAAAGCGAATTGCATGACGCCACCCACACTTCCAAATGTGTGCGAGAGTATGTGTGTGTGCATGCAAAGGAAATCGGTAATTAGTTTTAAAAGCAAATAATTGTTTGCTCCATTCAGAACTTGAAGAGCGCGTAAATTATTATATAAATGGTAAGTGGAATGGTAAAGATATATACCTTGATACCCAAAATACGTTACACAAACATAGTAATTAAACAAACATTTGGATTACACGATATGTTTATTTGATAAAGAAAGCATATTATCCATTATGGTATATAGCATACACTCGCACAACCACATATACATGGCGCTATATATGTGGGAGTGGTTCTACAGACAATATTTCTTGCTTACTACTGAGTTGGCAGGCGCAAAAAATTGGGTTGAGATATCACTAAGCTTAAATAAGAATAATTAACGTAGAATTTCAACTCCCTTCTCTCTCATAATCATCGTCGCTTTTCAACCTCAGCAGAACTAATCACAAATTGGAAAAAATCATATACAACACGGTGCAAGGGAATGGGTTACTTTTTATCGATGCAAACGGGTCTCCAGATGATGATGGTGGGTGAATGGGTTTACAGGCTTATACAGGGCTGTGTGGTTTTATCAGTCTAGTCCCGGCAGGGCTGATTCGAAGGCGACCAGGTGCACATCCCGCCGACGCCATCGTAGGTGAGTCCTTTCGGACAGGTGTACTCCCATCCGACGATTCCGCCGGTTTCCTCAAATCGAGCGCAGGATATGAACTTCCTGCAGTTGAGTGGGTGTGGGAAATTTCCCTGTGCCCGGCACTCGATGATGCCCCGTCCATGGACAATGACCTTCGGATCGTTCTTGCTCGGTAGAATGCTGCCACTTCGTCTTCGCTGCGCCACCTGACTCACCGGGAAAACCTCCTCCAAAACCTGACTACTCGAGGTGGCCGTGACTACGGCGGTTTTGGTCGGCGGTCGGCTGTAGACCTCGATGTATTTGTGCGGACGACGACGACTTTGCTGGCGACGGGAAAGTGGAGGAGCGGAATGGTCAGCCGGCGTGGATGTGCCGGAAGATGAGCCGGAAGTGGGCGTGTTTACGGGCGTGGCTGTGGTGGACTGCGGTCGACGTGGCCGTGGTATTAATTGACGACCTGCAGTGGGTTGTAAAAAAATAATTGAGTTTTCTGATCAGTAATAGCTCATTTATATTTATGATTTAATATTATCAAAAATAATTATAAATTGCCTTTAAAATTGGCATTCTTAAATATTAACTCTTAATTGTTGCATACTTTCAAGGCAAATCTCACCAAATCATACAGACTTAAAGCCACTTACGTATTCCCTGGCTAATAACTGGCAGTGGTGCACTGGCTGTGTTGCTGGTCGCGGTGGTGGTGGTGCTCTTTAGTGGTTGAGGTGGTGTTGGTGGCACTGAGTGTTCGTATTCCTCGCGCGGACGCACTTGCTCGGGAATCTGGTTGAAGCGACTCGTGTGAATGCTCGACTTTGCCACCTGATCCTCGTCATCATCGTTCAAATACAGAGTAGTGGTGGTTTCCACCACAGAGTTTGGCAGGTTGGTGGTGCGAACAGAAGGTGGTGTGGTGGATATAAGGGTAAGGCGACGCTTGAACAGCGGGTTCTGGGTTCTCGGCACATCGGTGGCTATCGATAAGTAATTATATCACATTGTTTATACAACAAAAATTAGGTTACCAAACCCTAAACCATAAATCTTTTGTCAAATTAAGGTGTTGCATAGGTATATTTAAAATATTGTGGGTGCTTTTGGGGATTTCCCTGGGCTTGTCAAAATATGAAATTAATCTTAAGTGTGGGAATTTAACATGTCTAGAAAATATTCGAGATTTTCTGCTTAAAGTTTTAAATTATTACGAAGGAAGTAAGCAATACTTTCTTTTTGCCAGTCTCGTTTTTACTTTACTTTAAGTAGAGTATTGCATATCAAAGCAACAAGAGAAATATGAGTAGAGAGAGTTGTAAGCTGATGCTTGCACAGAAAAAAATATTGTTGTTTAGTTATTACATAAAAAATTGTAATTCCCCAAAGAGCCTTGTTTATTTAGTAACGAAATCTGTGGACCTTGTGTATTTTCCATTGTGTTGGCCGTGCTGTAATATTTTTTGAAGTGTACTTACCGCTCTCATCGCCGTTGGCTGCCGGCGCGAAGGTTGTCAGCCGACGCGTTTGAAATTGGCGGCGCAGCGCAAAGCTGGCGGGTTGGAACTTGTGTTGCTTTTGTGTGATGTCATTACTGCTGATGTTGCCGCCGTTGCTGCTGATGTTGCTGGTTGCTGGCGTCAGTGTTGCTGCCTCACCGGATGCTGCTGCTGCTGCTGGTGCTGCTCCGCTCTTGGCTTTCAGCTTGTTCAGGTAAATGTTGCTGCCGGTTCTGCCGCCAGCAACAGATGTTGCTGCTGGAAAGGCTGTGGTTGCTGCTGCTGCGGCTGCTGCTGTTGTAGTTGCTGCTGCTGCTGCTGCCGTTGCCGTTGCTGCTGAGGGTCTGCTGCGCAGTCGGTTGTATTTGGAGGTCGTTGGCGGTTCTGCAGGCTGCTGCGTGGTGGCCTCAACCGCTGCCGACGTCGGCGAGTTGATAATCCGCCGGCGGACACTCAACACCGGTCGCCGCGAAACGCTGCCAGTCGTCGGTTGTCGCAGCTGGTGGTCGGTAGTCGATGGTTCACGGTACATGAAATTATATAAAACAGACACTCTATTTAGCATTCAGTGAATATTACTCGAACATTTGTTGTTTTTTTTTTTTTTTTTTTTTGCAACTCGCTGTGTGGTGTTTTTTAAATTTGTTTTCGTGCGTTTTCCTGGCGGTGTGCAGTCAACAACAATTCAAAAGCGCGCTACATGCTGGACTATAAACAATAAGAAATCATATTAATAATTTACAAAATTGATTAAAATATATGTATAAGATATCTACATAAGCGTTAAATAAATTAGTATTGCTTGGCGTTTGTTGGGTTTGTGTTGTGTTTTTTTCTGGAGGGGCTGGTTTTGGGGAACGGGAAACCCTTCAAAGGTGCTTTCACTCGCCATCTCTTCAAGATCAAGTTGACCGCTATCTGGAGCAACAACCGCAAAAATGCAGTCAGGCATTTTAATTGAAGGACGTTGGAGTGCAAAATAAATAACACACACGCATAACGAGTTATTTTTCTCGGCTATTATTTTGTGCTAGTTTTGCTTTGTCCACCAACGTTGTTGGCATTGAAAGCAGCAATACTGGCCAGTATGTGGAATTTATTGTAATTATACCAAATTGATCTGCTCTACCTCCAATCAAGCTGTCCCCTTGGATATTTTTTATTAAATTCTTTAACAAAAGTCCTATTTTCAATTAGTTATATAACAACTGCTTTACATTTTTAAAGAACTGAATAATACATTTTATAATTTCGTTTTAATCTTGAAATTAATTTAAAAAAATATTCTTTCTGCTAAAAAAAGCTGTACTTATGGAATGACTATGGTGATTTCATACACAGAAGTTAAAGTGTAGAAAACCAAACTGAGAGAGAGTTGCTGACGGGGAGATTTTCGGTGTCAATGTCGCACACACCTTTAAGACAATGAATGGGCCGGAAAAATACGCATCAGTCGAAGCGTTTGCATAACGAAGACGGGCTTCTTCGATTCGCAGATCGAAGCCTGTATTGCTGCTGCCTGGTATTTTGGTATTTGGCAAGACGACTGCATGCCAATGTGATTGCGTAATCTGAATCCCCACCAATCCCTCTTGATATTTTCCTCTTTGGCAGATGCGCGGTTTGCTTGTTTTGGACGCTACAAACTGGTTGGGATTTAATTAAATATTGTGCAAGCCAGTTGGTCAGCTTAATGGCTGGTGATGCGTGCAGGGCGTCGTCTGTTGATTTTCTGGCTTCTCAATGGAATTATTATTGTGAAAGTGGCCAAACAAAAGACTTAAGACACGAACCCGACGCGAGAAGAAGTGTTTCAAGGCCAAAAAAAAAAAACCAGATGCAGACCATTCATTGACAGATTCACATTAGGCATGCCTACTATTCCCTTTTAATAGATTACAAATAATTCGTTCAAATATCTATTTCGGCTTTGAAAGTTTTTATATGTGAAGAGTAGTATCGTACATCCACACCTATGGTATATCATTAAGCCCGTTTCGGTAACCACTTTTTCTGTGTAAGCACTCCCATTTATTTACTTTTTGTGTGTACTCTTTAACAAACTGATGATGACAAAAGCCTGTTACCCTGAGTGCAACACCTTTGATCTGCTTTTATGGCTTCTTTTTTATTTGTCCGCGCTTTTGTTTGTTTTGTACGGCCTTTTATTATTTTCAAATGGGATTTTTCACGGGCACTTGGAAAGGAAAAATCTTCGAGCCCACTTCACAAAAAACTGTTGAACATTTAACGACTTTTTGTCAACCTGATTTTTGGTGTCGCTTGTCAGCTTGTCGTGTTTGTTATGCAGCGCGTGATTTGACTTTTGGCAATTATCGTTCCAAGGAGACTAGCTACGCGATTATGAAACATGTCTCGTCTGCAGAGTCCCTCTCTCTCAGCAATTTGCAAATTGTTTTAGCTGAACTCGTTTTTATTTTATGTTTTTGTTTTTTCCTCATATTTTTGCTGTTTTTCCCGCTGACTTTGCACATCTTGCGGACTCATCGAAAGTTGAAACCGATTATCCAGACAGGCTTACATACCGACACAGTGCATATGTACTTATGAATAGGCATGTGGCAATAACCGCTTCATACAAAAAAAAAAACGAACATAAAGCCAGGCTGACATTTAACGAATGTAGAAAAAAAAAACAAAAGAAGGCGAAAAGAAGCACTGGCTAATGACTAAGCAAATAACAAGCAATTCTACAAGTGACATTTGAAAGAGCATCGAAAAGCTGATGGGGGAAATAAATGCATTTATAATTGCTCAAGACATGCAGAAGAATTTATTTTATCGGACAACCTCTGTAACCTTTGAAATTAAAGTCAAACAAGTCGAAGACTCAGGAATTCTTTTAGGACCTAAACTAAATAAAAAAACTTTTTAAGATAATACTAATAAAATGGTTTTAAACATTATTTGTGTGGGTTCCCATAAACTTTAAATATTACCCTAAACAATTTTACAATTTTACAAAAAATAAATGTCTATTAATTAAAAATTAAAAAAAATATGTACAAGATTTTCCCAATTTGTTTTCCTATATGTATTGTATATACATTTGGGGATTTCAGATGGTTAAAGTGGGGAAGTTTTTCGTGTTCTGTTGTGGCAATAATAATATGTATAGGTTGTTTCTTTTTGTTCATTATTTTATTGTTGTGCATAAATATTTTACAACTAAAGCTAGACTTAAAGTATTTCGGATAGAAAGAAAAATAGTGAAAAAAAATATTAGGGAAAAGATAGAATTAAGAGAGAACTGCGCCTGGTAAAAAGCCATTTAAAGTTATTTCAAGTTTATCAAGATTTGTATCCACTGAGGGTCGTTGTTTACGCTTGTTTTTCTAGATTTCTAGTTTTCTAGATTGTCTATATTTGAACCAAGGAAAGACTTTTCGCATCTGCATGTGTGAACGTATGTGTGTGATTGGGTGTGTATGTGTGGGCGTTTAAATGTTGTGCGTGTGTTGTTTAGGTATGGCAGCTCGAAGAATACGAATTGTTTAAATAATTTACATAGCAAAAAAAAATATAGTAGAGTATTCAAATTAAAAGCAGCAGCACTGGAAAATTTTGAAATAGTTTTTAAGCAGCCGAAGGGGTTGTTTACTTTCTTTTTTTTTTGATCGCCGTGGTTGTTGTTAAGCCAAAGCAACGCAGCCAATTATCTACGGTTCGGCAACGAAAAGGTAAAGCTCGCAAAAGATTCTCTTCTCTTTGATAAAATTGCGACTGGATAAGGGCTAAGACTAGAAATAACTAACTATGCTGATTTTCTCAGTTGTTTCATTTTATTGTGACCTATTCCGGCACCACTGTGGTGGTGTCATCGAATGTCGCCTCCGCCGTGGTTGGCGTTTCTGTGGTTGTCGTTGTTGTTGTAGTTGTTGTCGTCTTGCGGTTGCGCAGGCGTCGGCCACGCCCCTTGCGCCCCATCTTTTTGCGATGCACCACATGCGTTTCGGAACTAAAGCTAACTGCCTCGCTTACTTTGCTGCCCACAGTGGTAGTTGTAGTATTAGTGGTTGTTGTTTGTGTGTTTAAATTGGTGTTGCCACCAATACCCCCACTAATTGCACCACTGCTGAGCAGTTGTTGATTGTCAATTGTGGTGGTTGATTGGGTATTTTCGGGACTGTTGTTGCTTGTGACTGTTGTTTGTGTATTCAGGTTGTTGTTGTTAACACCGATAGCTTTGGAACTAATAGCGCCACTGCTAATCTCACTGGTGGTTGTTGTTATACTGCTTGTTTGTTGTCTATTTTCTTGGTTGTTGTTTTCTGCAGTGGTTGCTGTTTGTGTATTGCCACCAAAAGCTTCCGAACTAATAGCGCCACTGCTAATTGTGGTTGTTATTCGAGTATTTTGTTGGTTGGTATTGTCAGCGGTAGTGGTTGTTGTTTGTGTGCTTAGACCAAGCTGACCCATAATAACAGCACCAATCGGCATGGCAGTTAGTGTTTCTGTTTTTGTTGGTGTTTTTGTTTGTGTATTCGGTTGTGATTCTGTTGTGGTCTCAGTGCTGAAAACAGTGGTTTCTTCAGCCACCTGATCGTCTTCTGGCCTAGTTGTTGTTGTTGCCTGTGCAACTGGCTCAATGTTCGCATCATTATTACCACTAATTGTTTGATCTTGAGTGTTGAGTGTGTTGGTCTCTTGAGCACCACTGCCGATGGGTGCTTGCACCACCAGCGGTTGGCGCACCGAGAAGGCCGAATTCGAATCACTGACGACATCGGGAGCCACAGTGGTTTGGCTGCCCTCGGCCAGCGACTTTTGCACTTTGCTGAGAATCACCTGATCGAGATTGGCTATCGAAATGACCAGGGGCGAGGACTCATTGGACTCGGGTCGTAGGAGGGGTACAATGGGTCTTACGTAAGTGGGCGCCGGTGTTGTGGTTTCGCTTGTTGCAGTTTCGGTGGCCGAAGAACTGGGACTACTGACGGTGGTGCTGCTCTCCTCAGTTTCCGCGAATATGCTATTGCTGTTCAGTTGCTTGCCCTTGCGGGCCGAATCGAAAAGCCCCTCCAGCGAGATGGTCGAGGTCTCCAGAGCACCAGTTAGGACTTCGGGCAGCAGGGATTTGCCGCTGCGATCGGTGGTATCGCTGCCTTCAGCTTCTGGCAGAGAATTCCTCACCGGCGGAGAGGCAGCACTCTGTTCGTGCGAAGTGGGTTCGGTGGGTGTGTAATCCGCCACTGTGCTGTGTCCGTCGTTGATCTGAATGTCACTGCCATCCACAAGGTGCACAAACTTCACCACACTGATCTCGCCCAGCTGTTCAACATGCGGCAGCGATTCCACCCGCAGTGTGCCAAAGTCCTGATTCGCCTTGGACTTCCTCTGCGCAGCCTTGGCCTGCTTCGAGTTGATCTCCACAATGCGATTGATCTCAATCACCTTGTGCTTGGGCACCACCTCCGTCTGGATGGTGGGAGGAGGGACTCGAACTGTGGGCCTTCGGGTCGTGGGCTCCTCATCCTGGCCCTCGCCCTCGAGCAGGGTGAACACATGCAATAGGGTGGTGGCCGGTGGTGGTGCTTGAGTGGTGCTCGAGATGGTTTGGTCCTGTGAATTGATTGAAGTGGCTTCATTAGCATTGGTCGCTGTTTCAGTTTCGGTTACAGTTTCAGTTTCAGTTTCTGTTTCTATTTCGGTTACAGTTTCTGGTGGCGTGGTGTCTGTAGTGGTGGCTGTGTCTAACTGTGTGCTGGGTGGTGCTGGTGGTGGTGGTGTAGTACTGGGTGTTGGGGTGGTCACAAAGCCCTGCTCCAGCTGCTGTTGTTGCTCGGTGGTCTCTTCGTCCACCGCCACCTCTGTTCCGCTTTCCGCCTCCGTTCCCGTCTCCGATTCCACCTTGACCACCTTGGGCTTCAGGGCCGGATGCTTCTTACTGTGCTTATCGAAGATCTTCTTGTTTCTTGCATTCAGCGCATCGATATTCAGATCTTCTATCAGTGAATTTTCACTGGCCGTCTCTGTGGCCTCCGTGGATGGACCCGTGTACTTCCGCTCATAACTCCTGTTGTTACTCGGTATAAATGGTGCCGGCTTCAATGGGGTCAGCGGCGTGGTGCGCTCGTAATCACTGGCCACGGGTTTCAGGGTCAAGTTCGGTGAGGCGACTCCCGGGGGTCTGTTGACCACTCGGGGTCGTTTTGTGGTGCCAAAACGACCGGCTGGCGGGCCGTTTGTGTTGGCTGAACTCGATGGACGGTTGCGTGGATTGAAGGGCACATTTCCGGACGCTGTGGGTGGTATTGCTCCACTTGCGGTGGCTGCGAAACTGGGTCGACTGCCCGGTAGAACTCGGTTGTCCTTGGGCCTGTAAAGCGGGTTAACCTTAGGCTCTTGTGGCTTACCCTCCCCTCCAGCTGGCTTAGCCACCTCCTCATCTTCGTCCTCATCTTCATCACTGTCCTCCTCCGAATCCTCCTCCTCGTCTTCTTCATCATCGCTTTCTTCTGCGTCGTCTTCCTGTTGCGGCTTAGATTTATCCAATACGGGTCGCGTCTTGGGCACAAAAGGTCTGCGAAGAGTGGTTCCGAACTGATTCTGCAGTGGCTGCTCGTGTCGTTCTTCCACCTCCTCCTCATCGTCCTCATCATTATTTTCCTGAGTCCTGAAGCGATCGGCTCCTGGCAATCTTGAGCCTCGCGGATCGCTTCTCACAAAGCCCTCGCCACGATTGCGGACACTTGAGTTGAAGGGATCGAATCGGCCGTTCTTCTTGCGCACGAACTTCGCCGTGGGTCGGGTGGTGCTGAATGTCAGTGGTGCTTTGGTGGTGCCACCGCCGCTTGCCGAGGGTGGTGTATATGGTCGACGGGCCACCAGTTTGCGCTTAAAGAATGGACGCTGGGAAGAAACGACTGAAGAAGTCTCTTCATCTGCGGAAGATGAGTCCTCTTTTTGCCGACTGCCACTGCTGGTGGATTTCTCGGCGAGCAGCTTCTTCAGACGATCGTTTATTACGCCCTGGTCGCCATCTCCCTTCGCCTGCTCTGCCTTTACCTTGTCCCTCAACTTTTGCAATTCCGACACATCCTGGTCGTCCTTTTGACCCAGGGTCTTGAATCGATTGCTGATCACTCCATCCTGTGGCTCACCTCGTGCCTGCTGGTCCTTGATCCGCTGGCGCAGATTCACAAGATCATTGTCCTGATCCGTGAATCTGGTGTGGCTGGGAACGAAAGGTTTACGGGTGGTTTCATCGGAATTATCCACACTGGCTGCTGTACTTGAGTCCACTGGCCTCAATTTGCGTACAATCTTGCGGAAACGCTTGTTGCCGGTGGTGCTTGTGGTGTTGCTGGTGGTACTTTGGCTTATTGTAGTGGGTGTTGCTGTGGTTGTGTCTGGGTTAGTGTCAGTGGCGCTATTAGTGGTGCTATCTACGGTTGTACTATTGCTATTGCTATTCAAGGGTCTGCGGAATTTTAAAACACGTATTCTCTTCGGTGTTGGCCTGCTGGTGGTTGTTGTTGTTGTTGAGGTTGCGGTGGATTCTTCTTCATCCTCCTTCTCTTCTTCTTCAACATCATCGTGGGCATCACCCTTAGTCTCGGTCTCTTCAGTCTGCTCATCGACTAGGGTTAGTTTAGTTACCTGGGCACGCTGACGGCCCCCAAAGGCCACTCGTCTGGCGGTGGTTGTTGTTATTGGGGGTTGTTGTTGTGTGGTTGTTGTTCTGGTTGTTGGGGTGGTGTTGGTGGTGCTGCCTCTGGTGCGGCTCAATTGATAACGATTCTGAAAGCGTCGTGTGGAATTAACATCATTACCTAAGGCATTCAAACCAGCCCCACTCGATTTCTCCTCCCCCTCATTCTCTAGACTAGCATCGTTATCATCATCGTTATCATTATCATCTCCATCATCATTATCATTTACTGAACTGTCTGTCTTAAGATTAGCTTTGACTGTGACTGGTTTGTTGTTGTTTGTGTAACTGTTTGACTTGAATCGATTAATATAATTGGCTACGGTGCTGTTACTACGTTGACTAGCTACATTCAGTGCGGTGCTACGGTTAGTAAGATTGTTAAGGTTAGTTGTGCCTACCCCCAAAGTTTTGTTTTGTGTGTTTAGTGTGTTGTTACGGTTCGATACCTCATCAGAGCTATCTTCTTCATCGTTTTCTTCCCCATCATCCTCGTTGTCCGAGTCAGTTTTTTGTTCGGTCTGTTTTTGGGTGGTTGTCCTGAGTGGTTGTCTTTGCCGATTGGCAAGCAGTTGACTTAGTCTTGAACGTGCAGTGGTGCTTGAGATTTGGGGATCAACTGATTCTTCATCATCCCCTTCCTCGTTCTCATCGTACTCCTCTTCGGGCTCTTCTTCATCCTGATCATCGTCGGATTCTGGTCGGTGATAAAGATTCCTATTGATGGCCACCAGATTTCGTCGTGTACTGGAACTAACTCTTTGTGGTGCTGCAGTGGTGCGACGTCCCACAAAACTGGGTGGCTTGCGTACCGGCACCGCAGTCTCCTCCTCTTCTTCTTCCGGAGTGCGCTGCAAAGCTCGATGGCGGTTTGTTTGCAGGAAGCCGGCTCGTGGTGGTGCCACCTGCTCTTCTTCCTCATTATCCTCATCATCATCGCCGTCGTCGTTATCCCCGTCTTCGGTGGTTGTTCGCGGTGTTGTAAAGCGATTACGTGAGCGGTTCAAGGCCGCGTACGGACGACGTGTGCTAATCTCATCGCCGTTCGTTGATCCCGCCGTGGTTGTTGTGATGCCTGTCGCATTAAAGCGGCGACGTGACAGAATCGTTCGACGTGTTGTGGTTGTTGTAACTGTCTCGCCCTGATCTATTTCATTGTCGTCACTGGGATTTGCGGTGGTTGTTGTTGTTCTTGTTGCGGTCGCATTGAAGCGTCGGCGGATCAAAAGTTGCCGCCTTGGTGGAGTTGTAGTTGCCGCCTTTGGTGTTGAGCTCTCCGTATCATTTGGATCGATCTCATTTTCTAGATTTTCATCAGGAACTGGAGACGTCGTAGTGGATGTAGTGGTGCCATTAAAACGGCGACGAATTACCAACTGACGACGTGTGGTTGTGCTTTCTGGTTTACTTGTGGTTGTCGAAGTTGTTGTTGTAGTTGAAGCTTCTGAGCTAGATCCACTTTCTTGTAGGGGTATTTCATTGTCATCGTCTATGTGTGCTTCCAATTCGGGTTCTTCAGTGCTGTCTTCGGGCTCGTCAGTGCTGTCTTTAGGCTCTTCAGAATCCTTGTTTTCACTAGTTTCTCCTGTTTCTTTCTTTTCCACCTCATTTTCTTTGATGTCATCGTTTATTTCCTTTTGAGAGCTAATTGTGGTTGCCTCTTCATCCTCATTTTCATTTATTTCTGCTTCTTTTTTTCCTGGATTTTCAGTGGTTGTCGTAGTCGAAACTCTGCGATTAATGGCGACAAATGGCTGTCTCGTGCTTCTGTCTCTTATCGATGTGGTTTCGGTGGTTGACTCAGTGGCTTCCTCTGTAGTTGTGGTAGTGCTTCCCCGGCCTCTTAATCTATTTAAGCCAGCATACACGCGTCTTGTCGTTGATTCCACCTTTAGTTCTTCCTTGTTATCGTTTTCTGAAAGATTAAAAGTATTTTCTGATTAATATTGTTTCAATATTTCATTCTTGTTTGCATTCAAATTAAATAAAAAATCATTCCTGATTACATTATTAAAATAATTTTTTGGAAAGAAATAAAAAAAAATTTAAGAAAATAGAAATGTGAATGCAACAAATTTGGAAAACTTACCATTATCAGAAGAGTCAGAATCTTCTACTGCATTTCCAGGTCTTCTTGGGATGTACACTCTTCTTGTGGGTTTCCTAATAAGGGTAGCGGACGCAGTAGTTGATTCTTGTTGGGGTTTCTCATTAGATTCGTCATCATCTTCTTCGCTGTTTTCTGTTGCAGAAGGTGTAGGTGTGGTTGAGCGAACCCGGAATCGCTGAGGAACGCTGTAGCTTCTTCTAGTGGTTGTGTCAAGTTTTTGTTCGTTTTGGGTGTTCTGTTGCAATCTGCTGGACAGAGTTAATCGGGTGCGATTTAATCTTGTATAGGTGCGTAATGCCCTGGAGTCTTCTTCGCTTCTTTCCTTTTCTTCTAGAAGAGAAAGGCTTACTATCTTGGAGGTTTCGTTGCTTGAGTCTGCTGCTAGTGGTATTGTCTTGAAGGTTTTTCCCTGTCGCTGAGATTTTATTTTTCCCGTGCTACCCTCGTCATCTTCATTATCCTCATCGATTTCCGCTGTAATTTCATCATCATCTAGGGTTTCCTCTCCCGATCCGACCAACTTTGCCCCCGGGTGACCTAATTTGACCCGGGGGTTTTCAATAAAAAATGACCGAGTTCGGCGTTGATTTCCTTGGCTTGTTCCATCGCCAGGCGATGGCCATCGCTTTCTCCGTCGTCGCTGAGCGAATTATTTGGTGTCTCATTCTCACTTACATTGAACACATCATGAATTTGCTGTTTAATGTTCACAGTCACACTTTCAATATCTGGTGGTGCGGGGGATTTGTCTATATAGGTTATGGGAGAATCCTTCACATACTGATAGTACTTTCTTCTGTGGTAAATCGGCAAAGAAAGTTTATCATCGCCTTCGTCTTCTGCAGGTTCACTTCCCTTGTTGTTCGCCTGGCCTTCTAGTTTATTTTCTGATTGCAAACGATTAATGGCATTGCTAAGCTGTGCTTTAAGATCGCTTAAATCTTCTTTGGTTGTGGTTGTGGTTGCTTCTGTGGTAGTTGTTGTCGTGGTAGTGCTGGTTTTCAAGCGGTTTACAAATTTCTGCTTGGCGGCAGCCAACTGATCTTCAGTAGACTCATCTTCAACCGGAGATGGGGCAGTTGTTGTACTCACGGGTCGTCTGCGGGCCAGAATTTTTCTGGTGGTAGCTTCTATGGATGAAGACGTTGCTCCCACTGTAGTCACATCTTCAACTGGAGCTTGGGTGGTTGTTGTGCTTATTGGTCTTCTGAAAGTCAAAACTCTCCTGGTGGTTGCTTCTTGAGAGGCAGGCGTTGCTTCCTCTGTAGACTCTTCTTCAATCGGAGCAGGAGTGGTGGTTGTGCTTACGGGCCTACGGAAAGCAAGAACTCTTCTTGTGGTTGCTTCCGAGGGGATCGATGGTTCTGTTGAGGTTGTAGTGGGCTCTTCGGTGGTTGTGCTGGCCTTGGAAGGTCGCTTGAAAGCAAAGCTTGCTCTACGAGTGCTTGCTTCGCTTTCGTTTGGTGTTTCCGTTGTTGTTGTGGTTGTAGTACTGCCCCTAGTCGGTCTGGTTCTTCGGATTATGGGTCTGGCTGTGGTGCTAACCTTTGGAGTTTCTTCCACTTCGTTACCAGTTTCGTGGCCAGCATCGTACTCAAATTCTTCAACCTCTTCGTGCTCGATAGTCTCCTTGGGTTTCTTAAGCAGACGTCTTCGAGTTTTGGTTACCGTTGTCTCAGATTGTCCCTGCTTCTTGCGATTGTTGCGTGAGGAAAAGTCCAAGGCAAGCAGCGAAGAAAGATCGTTGCTCTGGAAGCGCACGGAACCACGATTACGGGTCACCAAGCGGGGTGTGGAGCTCGGTGGTGGTGGGTGGGTCACTTCATCGATAATGTACTCATATTCTGCGGGCTTCTCCTCCACGGTCTTTGTATGAATACGCTTGACAACCTTCTGCCCGGCATCGAGGGTGCGGACATAGGTAGTGCGAGTGCGGGTGATTCCATTGCCCAGGCTCTCGGTTTTTGTGGTGGTGCGGTTTCGAACAGCATTCAACGAAGTCCGACCACTGGTTACCTTTTCCACTTTTTGCGGTTCTTCCTGCTCCGTTTCCTCTTCCTTGGACGAAGGCAAAGGGCCAGTAGGTGTTTCTGTGCCTAAGGTGGTGTGGTTGTTCCTGGCTCTCTTATTGGCATCTGCCGCTAGAAGAGAGGATAGATCTCCCTCTTTGCGCGGCCTAAAGCTGCCTCTGACTATAACTCGACGTTTTGGCAGAGCAGTAGTTATCTCACTCTCGTTTTCATTTTCCTTGGCCCCCTCTGTAGTGGTTGTTGTTGTAGAGCCTTCTGTGGTACTGCTTGTGCGGAAGAAACTACGCCTGGTTGTGCTGCTCACTTCTGCCTCTCCAGTTGATGTTGTGGTTGTGGCTTCTGTTGTGCTTGGCGTCTTATTGTGGAAAAACGAACGACGAGTCGTGGTTGTATCTGCTTCAACCCCATCGCCAATAGAGCTGCTTTCGGTTTCTTCAGTTGAAGTGCTGCTCGAAGCTTCAGTCGTACTGCTAGGAATTTCAGTAGTACTGCTCCTGAAGAACGAACGACGCGTAGTACCTTCGGTGGTTGTCTCCACCTCGCTTTCTAGTTCAGCTGGACTGCTAGATAGCTCTGATGTGTTGTGCGTTGCCTCTGTGGTGGTTTTAAAGTAAGAACGACGTGTGGTGCTTTCGGTGGTTGTCTGAACTTCGCTTTCTGGTTCAGCAGAGCTGCTAGGCACTGCAGTGGTGCTCGTTCTTAAGAAGGATCGCCTTTTTGGGCCTTCAGTGGTTGTTGTGGCTTCACTTTCTGCTTCTGTTGAGCTGTTAGGTGCCTCCGTTGAGCTGGTTCTGTAAAAACTTCGCCGCCTTGGTCCTTCTGTTGTTGTCTGGACTTCACTTTCTGGCTCAGTGGTGCTAGCCTTGGTACGCAATATAACGCGACGCCTTGAGCCTGTGGTAGAAGTGGATTCTTCTTCTGGTACAGCTTCAGTTGTGGTTGAGCTAAAGCGGTTGTTAGGACGTCGAGTAGGTTTTTCTGTAGTTGTCGTGCTTTCTTCCTCTTGAGGAATGGTGGTGCTGCTACTACTCTCTGGCAATTCAGTAATACCGCTGATTTCGGAGTCGGATTCCTTTCCACTCGAACTTAATTCAGTTGTACTGCTAGTCGGTGATTCTGAAGAGCTACTTTCTGTTGAAGATCCCTCGTTGTCTGATTCTTTGCCAATGACATCCGATTCTGTGGTGCTGCTGCTATTATCTTCTTCAGACAGAACAGTGGTGGTGCTAACAGGTGCTTCTGAAGAACTGCTGGCATCTGAAGTTTCTGCAGGTAGAGTTGTGACTTCCAACTGTGGCGGTGCAGCTTCTGTAACAGTTTCGGGTGATTCCTGTTCGGTTGCCGTGTTGCTGTCATCCGTATTTTCACTGCCAGCGGGCGCCTTTGTCTCTCCTCGCTTCTCATCATCGATTATCTCGGCGGCCACGTTCTCATCTTCGCTGGTGCTCTCTACGATCTGTCCACCTCTGCTGACAGGTTGGTGTGGAAGTGTTGCTTTGGCTCCTTCGCCAAGATTCCTTACGAAACTAGAACTGCGACCTGCGGTGAGATGAGCTCCACCTTCGGAGTCGCGAGTGATGGCCTTGTATTGAATTTGAGAATCGTCTGTGGTGGCACGACTGGCAGATCTTTGGATGTTTTGGTAGCTGCGAGAACCATGGGATGATGATGTTTCCGTCGCCTCGCGGGCCACCTCCGATTCATCTTCGGCGGAATTCAAACGACGACTGCGGAATTTGGTGGTGGTTTGAAGATTCTCCTCCAAGTCTTCCTCGGTGTTCAACTGCTTGCCGGCAAAACGTCGAGAGTCCTTGTCGTCACCAGCTAAAGAATTGGGGACCACTTTTCGTTGCGAAGCGGGACCTCGCACTCCGCGCCAAGTGTACTTGACATGCTGCTCGGTGGTGCTGGGTACGTCATCGGTATCGATTTGGTTTTGGGATTGACTTAAACTAGAGCTAACTACTTCATGCCTTATGCTATTGCCACCGTTACCAGCTACTTCTACTTGGGACTCTTGGTGGTGGTGGTGCAGTGAGGAGGTTTTGTTTGGTGTGTTGATTGCTGTTGCTTTTGGAAGACTGGCACTCACCTTGGGCCTATCCCCTGGAGATAGTCGTGTCTTCTTCACTACTTGCGCAACTGCATCGGTTTCGTTATCGTTATTATCGGTATTGTTATCGTTATCGGTTTGGGGGGTGGTGGTGGTGGTGCTAGCTGTGGGTCGTGTGCGTCGACGGGGATAACCAAAGGGTCTGGGACTAGAAAGGTTTGGTTCGGTAGTTGTTGTTTGGGTCGTATCTTTTTGGGGTTGCCTTCTGCCCGGGTTGGTTCTAATGCTATTAAAACTACTCAAACCGTTTGTTGGACTAGCATCGTTCGCTGCTTCTGCATTGTTGTTGTTGTTGCTGTTGTTGTTGGCGGTGGTTGTAGTTGTTGTGGTTATGCGTCGACGGTTGGTGGTGGCATACTTGTATTGGGTCTTGGTTTTCGTTACCTCACTGTCCTCGTCCACGTTGTTTACGTCATTCAGTTCGTTGTTGCCAGTGGTTGATGTGGTTCTTGGTGTGGTTGTTGTTGCCAGTTCAGGTTCCGTTGTAGTTGTGGTGGTTGTTGTCGGTGTTGTTGTCTCTAAGTCGGGATTTGAGGGAAGGTGGGTGGGAGAGGCTTCACTCAGCTCGGTGGCTAACAAAGAGTCTGAGCTAATGCCATTGGCGGTTGTTGTTGGGACAGTGGATGCTACAATTGGTGTGGGTGTGGTGGTGGTATGCAAGTTGTTAGTTGTGGATGTGGTGGTTGAGGTGCTTTCATTTGGTTCAGTGGTTTCGTTAGTAGTGGTGGTGGTTGTTGTTGTGGTTTCGGATTGGGCGGTGGTGCTGGGTGTTGCTGTGGTGTTCTCTTCTGTTGGTATTAGGTTATTCAGTTTCACATTGTTGTTGTTATTGCTGCTGTTGTAGTGGCTGTTGTTGTTGGTGGTGGTGGTGGTACTGGCCTTGGCAGTCTCAGTGCCGGCGGTTGTTGTAGTTTCTGGTGTTGCTGTTGTAGTGGTTGTTGTTCTGCGGCCGATGCTCGCATATTTACGTGTGTTTGTGCTTTGTTTGCTCTGTACCGTAACAATGTCCTTCTGCTCATCATCGTACTCTTCCTCTTCGTCCTCCGTGGGATCTTCGGCATCATCGGCGGTGGCACTCTTAGTGGGTCGCGTACGCTCAAAGTACTTGTAACTGGAAAGGAGGATGTATGTTTTTGATTAATCAAAATGATCATGATTAAATTATTTGTCCACTTACCGATTGGTTGTCGAACTGGGCGCCGCTTCCGTGACCTCTGGTGATGCCGTGGTGCGTCCACGGGTGCGACTCAAGGTAGCATAGGATTTGACCTGAGTTTGGGTTTGTTGCTCCGCCCCCGCCTCCTCGTGGGATTCCTCTGCCGGCGGTGCCACTGTGGTGGGTCGTGTGCGTCTGAGACTTGTGTACGATGGCGTGGCTGAGCTCAAAGGACGACGGGTGGTGGTCTCCACTTCGGCCAGGTTCTCCTCCTCTTCCTGCTGATCTGCATGTTCTCCCTCATCATCTCCCTGATTTGCAGATCGATGGCGATTGATGGTCACGTATTGCTTGCGTTCCTTCAGGAAACCATCAAACTCGGCCAACTTCTCAATGCCTTCGTTTTGTGGACCCTGGCGGCTGTTGCCCCTCAGAACTGAGGAGTATTTCGAGTAGCTATTGGAGGCTCCACTCGACGTAGAGCTGGAAGAACTGGCTTCCGTGCTCGTCCCCGTTGCCTCGCTGATCTTAAAGCGATTGCGGGTGAAGGAACTCAAGGTTCCTGGGCGACTCAGCACACGATCATACAGAGATTTGCTGATGGTAGAGGGTGTGGTGGCTGCACCACTGGCAGAATTTTCCTTCAGGGTAATCGATCCGTCCTTGTTGCGCAGCAGATGCTTCTCCAGTTGCTCCACACCGCCCACTTTCCGAATCAAATCGATCAGCTCCTTGATCACCTGCGGATCCTCCTCAGCATCAGTGGATTTACTAGGCGACAGCTCATCGGTGTCCTCTTCATATTCGAGATCTTCTTCCACACTTGCTGGCGTTGTCGTAGTGGTTGTCGTTGTGCTTGTTGTGGTGCTGCTGGTGGTGCGTGGATAAACTGGACGAGCTGTGGGTGCAGCTGTCACTCGATTCGAGCGCGCTGTGGTTGTTGTCGTGGTTGTGGAGGTCACCGGAGCCACTGTGGTGGATCTACAATTGAATGAAATGTGATTTGATTAATATCTCCGATTAATATTTTACAAAATGTATTTACTTTTTGGTCTTGCAAGGCACATTTCGTGCAAAATCGCAGGAATCGGCGGCCGGGTTAAAGTATAGTCCCGACGGGCAGGTGAACATGTGAGCCACAATGCCCAGACCAGACGGTCCACTATCCAGACACCAGTAGTACTTCTTGCAATCCCTCGGATGCTGGAAGAAGCCTTCCTCCTCGCACTTGAAGTCCGAACCCGGATCGGGAGTCGTTGGCGGTGGTGGCGTGGTTGACGCCCTGCCTCCGATGTAGAGTGACGATCCCTCAGCTTCGGTCAGCTTGAAGGTGGTGCTCGGTGGTGGTGCTTGGGTGGAGGAGCTAAGAGCGGGTCGCCTCGTTGCACTGGGTCTCCTTGTGCCGGATGGTGCTTCGGTTTTCCCATTAAGGCGATTCCTGGTGCTAGCATTATCGCGACTGCGAGATCTTGAGGGTTTCTGCGGGCCACTTGGCTTGGCCACTTCGTTGATGCCCAGTCTGTAAGGGGATTGGATAACATAAGTGTCATTAAATTCCAAAAAAAGGGGTGATTCTACTTACCCTAATGCCTCCACCATTGCTTCCTTGGCAGCCTCGATGAGAGGATATGGCTTGCCGTTGCAGGTGCCGCGGAAATCGTCATTGTCGATGGCCCAGAACATAATGCCACCCAATCCCTGAGCAACCACATACTCGGCCTTCTTGCGAACGATGGCCTCGTCATCGTAGCCAACCCACTGGTTGCGCCTGTAGGCATAAGGTCCCATTACATTGGCATTCGGCTGCACCACCGTCCACTCGGGATCGTCCTTGAGCGTTTGACAGATCTGTTTCGGGATACAAAGGTTAGCTCTTTCCATGCATTACTATATGGAGTAGGTAAACTAACCTCATAATAGGCCAGGTAGCCCTTTTCTCGAGTGGCGTCGCCCTGCTCTCCAGGACCTTCGGAAGGTGCTCCCAGTTCAGTGCTTTCCTCGTTGATCAGAGTGTAAGATCGTCCATAGGTGGGAATGCCCAGAACAAGCTTGTCGCGATCTGCACCCGCTTTCAGGTAATATTTGATGGAGTAGTCCTGGATAAAAAATATACAATTCATAGTTATTACATATCATAATTCCAAAGCCAAAGCATACTCACAATATTCAACTCAGCATCGTAGTTGTACTCGGAGTCTTCTTCCAGCGAATAAAGCGGAGCATGGTGATTAACCGATGGCTCGTGGGAGGAGTGGAAATCGTAGGTGAGGACATTGAACCAATCCAAATATTTGTTCAGCTTGGGCACATCGTAACCCTTGTCGATGTACTCGATACCAGCGGGAACGGCCATGGTCAACAGGAGACGGGTACGTCCGGTTTTCTCGGCTTCCCTTTCGAACTCGGCCCTCAACTCCTGCACAAACTGGGCATAGTTATCCCGATCCCGGGACTTTCCACCCTCGCGATGGGCCGGATATTCCCAATCCAGATCGATACCATCAAAGTGATTCTGTCGCAGGAATTTCAGAATGTTCTTGATGAACTGCTGCCGGCGCTCGTTACTCGCCACCAACGGCGAAAATCTGGAACTGGCCTCGTTCCAACCGCCAATAGCAATCATGGTCTTCAGCTGCTTGTTGTACGTTTTGAGTCCAGTGAACTTGGCATAGCCACCTGAATGAAGAAACAAGGGGGGTTAGGGAGGGTCGTGGGATGCATCATCATCATCATCAGACGGACAGGAAATTAAAGCCGAGTCAAATTAACTCGCCGGAAGGACGGGGGCGTGTCTGCGTTACTCACCCTGCTCGATGTCCTGGTACTTGTCAAAGGGCTTCATCTGGTTGTCCTTCGTGAATCCACCGAATGCGTACACCAAATGTGTACACAGGTATGGATTGATGTTCTGCGGATTGAATTTGGCAGTGCCCGGCCGATAGACACTCCAGTTTGTGTAATAGCAGACCACGCGACCCTCGCTGCTGGCTTCTGTTTTCGATTCGAATCGTAATTGATATGGAAGAGGGTATGGTTAAGTGACAGCTCACAAATCATAGGCAATAATTTTCATCGATTATATGTATATATTTTATAAATAGAACATCAAAGAGGTATTTTAAATATTCAATTAAAATTCTACACTTACCATTTATGCAATAGGCGAGAGCGCAGAGCAGGAAGAGCGTTTGCCAGGCCGCTCCACGCCGGAACTGCAATAAACGAAGAACAGCCAATTAGAAAATTGGGTAATTATATCGGATTGGATTGATTCAAAAAATTTTAAGCAGCACGAGGCGGAAGCCATCGGCGGGAAGCTCAATTAGCATATCGAGATCGTAGATCAGATCGCCATGGGCCATCAGCATTGACACAGTGACATCGATGGATGGATGGGTGGCGGAGGAGATTGGTTGGAGATCGGTGATCGGTGATCGGAGGTCCGCATAAATCTGGGCGAAACAAAAGACCAAAGACACGAACTCGAAGAAGAAGTGGTTCCCATGAAGGTCGCCCATCAAAATCGCGGCTTACATAATAGCTTGTATGGCATGGTATGCTATGATGTGACGAGATGAATTTCATATGCAAATCGTCGGGCTAATCAGATGCAGATGCCACGCCCCATTTTGTTTTTGTTTTTTGGTTTTTTTTTTCTGGTGTCATAAGAGGGGCAGTCGACTAGGAAGCGGTACTACTACAACACACATCATTATTTGTGTGGCGCGCTGAGTCTGAGTCACACTCATAAATATCTTAAACGGATTTTCATATTAAAATGCCAAAGTGTTACAACAGCTACGGGCCGCAGCCACAATGGGCCCAAATCTTTTTGGATTTTGGTCAGCAACCGAAAGAGAAACAACACCAGATTACATAAGCAATCCGAACCAAAAACTCGACTTCGATTGCGTGTGCGTGTGTTTGTGTTCCATGCCGGTTTTTTATTTTGTTTTTTGGTTTTTTTTTTATGCCCACTTTTTTCTGGGCTCACACACACAGCGTAATCGTTCATTCATCGAAGTGAATTTTACACACTGCGAACAAAGTGCCTGAAAGTAAAAATTGATCAAGTCAAGACATCAGCATCGTCAACATCAACTGTCGAAAAAAACATCTGCCAGCGAGACGAGATCCGAACAGGTTGGATCGCCGAGGCTCATCACTAATTAGCAAGCCCGACTTTAAGACCTCTCTCCATACTTTAAAATATATACTGTACGTATATTTGCCTGGGATGACCAGCGAGGTTTGCTAATTGCATTTACCCGCCTGAGGCAAACTTTCTTTTCGCTAAAAACTAAAAACAATTATCTATTAATAAAAGCAATCATCCAAGGGAAGTCTTTAAGGCAATTGGTAGAAAACAAAATATTTAAAGTTTTATTTCATTCCATTCATTTGCTGTTGTGCAACATTTTTTCCTGGCAGCTGGCTCTTCTGGGAAGAATACCTTTTTTATGGCCAAACGCTCGTTCACAAGACACATCAGATAAATCTCAGCTTAAACTAGTTTCACTTGTTTCGTCTTCCATACATAAAATTATATTAAAACATACATGAACAGTATTAGACTAGGCAAAAAGCAATGGGGAGAATTCCAAAGATATTTATTGTTTTCTCATGCAAGCAATCGAATAAAATTATTTATAATAAATAGTAATAGTGCAGTTTAAGTACAACTCCTTAGCAACAGCACTCGCTAGCTAAAAGCCTTAAAAAAACTTCCTTGAAGATGGTTCATTGGCTTTTGGAAATAGCTACTTTCTGAGTTAAGTTCTTAACCCAAATTCAAGTCAAGAGTTCGCCTAAAAGTGGCGGCAAAATTGCACTTGCAAAACGTCACAAAAATGCTTTTTGCTACTCAAACGTCGGCAAATGGGGAGCTTGTATATATGCTACTCTTTAGCGATTTGAAGCTTTCCCCTTTAGCCGTAAATCGCAGCCGTATCCATATCCGGCATACTTGTCGACGAGCTGCTGGTGGTGCTGGCGGTGCTGTGGCGGTGCTTGTTGTCCCATTTTGCCAAAAGCCAAAGGCACTCAAGACATTCTGGCGGAGGGGTAATGGCATATTTACCCAGTGCCGCGCGAACGAACCGCCGCGAAATAAAAATGTGTGTGGACATTGATTGGGTCATTGGACCAGCATAGGTAAACAAGATATGTTTATGGAACGCTGTGGCAATTTACATTTATATATAGCCATCATTTACATGGTGGTTGGTTGGTCGGTCGGTTGGCTGGCTGGCTTACGCATTGCTTAACATTGCTTTATGGCAGCGACTGCAGCAGCTGCTTACATAAAATTGCATGCCGAAAAGCGGAGAGAAAAAGTACAAAACTAAACAACTTAAATGAAAATGAAAATGACAACAATTTGGATTGTACAATGCGCATGAGCATTCGCATTGGCACTCGCATTTTCAGACTCGCATTTCGCATTGATTGGCCAGAGAGACTCTTTGCTTTGACAAATTTGTCGATTTTACGCAAAGTGAACAGCAGCAACGTCAGCGACACATGTACTTAAAGGCAAATGCCAGATTTGTTTTCAGTTTAGTTTAGTTTCAGCTTTTTGTGTCCAGCCTTATTTTCTTTTAATTGCGACTAGCGGTTGGCAATTAAAATCAGGCTAAATGTGGACTGGACAACTGTGTTGTTGCTGCTGCTATCTTGTTGCTGTTGTTGTTGTTGTTGCTGCTGCTGGTGTTGCTGCTGGTGCTGCTGCAACACCGTTGATGTTGCTGCAGGGCGCTTAAACAGCAGCTTCCACAGCGGACCAAAATTGAGAATCGTTTTTGGCCGGATTTACAGCCCCAGCGGCGGTACAATTTATGGACAAGTTGCTGCTGTGACTAGCTGCTGTTGCTGTTGCTGCTGCTGCTGTTGTTGCTGCTGCTGCGACAACAAGTTGCAACACTTGGAGAGATCCAGTGTGTGTGGCACATTTATACAGATACTCACTACTCACTTATATACACATATATATATGTGTACTGCAACTGCAGCTGGAGAGCCCGTTGCTTACGTAAGGCATCGCATTACGACAAAAAAAACCAAAAAAAAAAATACCTGGCTAAAAAATGCACAAATATTGCGTACATACTTGCAATTTCTCAGTTGCAGTTGGCTTTGCATAAAATCTGGATTTAACCTTGAATCAAGCCGAGCCAAGCTGCCTCATAAATCGCCGCCAGTTGCTCTCGATATTTGTGGTATTGGTTTCGACTCGGTTTTGCGACGTCAAGAACTTTGAGTTCATTCGAGGCGAACTGCAGATACACATACTCGAGACTTGAGCTGTCGCTCATTAGAAATCGCTTGTGTGAACGGCTGACAGACGTGAATCAAGGGGATCTACAAAGAGATTCTCTTGACCAATTCAAATTTTCCCAAATCAAATGAGTCAGCCAATTAATGGTCTTTAAATGCTCGTTGACTTATGACATTAAATAAACTGTATGTTATTTATACTTGAATTGATTAAATATATCTTATAAATTCATCATTAAACAAATAGCTTTGCTATTAATAATTGCGCCAAAATCTAAATCGATTAATTTAAAACTAAAATACTTTATATTTTTTTTGTTTTATTGCAGCTTAGTAAACAATTAATAAAATTGCACCTAGTCATTAGTGTTTTTCTTAATTGGCGTTCACTCGTACATTTATTTCATTAACGAGGCAACAATTAAAGTGTATGAAAATAAATCAAGTTGAGTTTGAGCAACCTAACTATGCTCTTGGTTGCTAATAAAAAAACACTTTATTAACCTAAAACAGTTCATAAACTTGTATGAAAATTGTGTTATTTTTATAGGCTTTTAATATGGCTTTGTATGTTTATGGTTTATTACTGTTGTTGGGCAGGCAGTTATAATGGAGTTAATGCCCCAAATATATGTACAGTTTCTGAAATAAAGATATAGGAAATATTTTTCAACTGAAAAAAGTACATGGGAAATTTCAAATGTGACTCATTGCTTTCCAATGCGTTAGGAAACTTATTTTTCGCCTTCAAAATTTATGTGGAGTGTGCTGGGGATATTTACAGGCTTTGGGTGTTGTTCGAACACCCGTGAATCATGTGTGGGGATATGTGTGTAAATTGTGGGTCTGCTTGCCATCAATCTTGGCCCACAAAAATTCCGCAGATAATGGTCCGGCTATTCATAATCCCTGGGCTCTGCAGCTGCCATCCAGATCAACATTCACACATTCACAGCCAAAATGCATGACTTGGCCAAAAACGGGGAAAAGAAGTTGCGGTTGAGTGGAGTGAAGTAAAGTTCAGTTCAGTTCAGTTCAGTTCGCCTCTTAAATGCAACTTAAAATTCAAAGAGGGTCCGCTGCAGTACCGCTCCCGCCTGGAAATTGACTGGAAATTTCCGTAGCACGTAGAATGTGCCGCACATCATGTCACGTTTCAGGTACCAAAGAGCGTCGCAATGTCAACGCCCCAAAAATAAAACAAAAGCAAAAGCAAAATCAACGGGCCCAGAGATCAATGTCTGCCCAAGAGACGTTGCGTATACGCCCCGTTTTTGGCTGCTTTGCTGTTTCGACTGGCGGCGGCGTCGGGGAATGTTCGAATTTTAGCAGGCAGAGCAGAGCAGAGCAGAGCGGGTGTGCCAAGTTGAAGAGTTTTGTAAACAAAAGTTTTGACATTTCAGCAGGCCACTCCACTTGTCCAGAGGAGAGCCTGTGTGAGCCAGTTCGAAAACACCACCCTGCCTTCAAGATTGGGTGTGTTAAAGCCCAACAACCCAGCGCCAAAACCACCGGCACAATGCCAGAGATCGTTCGATAAGCTGATGCATTTAACTCATGCATTTAGTCGGGATTTATGCCGTGCGAAAGTTGAGCTTTGTTGGCCAACATCGAGATTAGCGTGCGAAAGATTTTCCCAGTCACCAATCTAAGTCCAAGTTTTCGGTGGGGTTTGCTTGTGGCCCAGCCAAGGCATTTTCAATTAGGCAACCGAGCAGACCAGGCCACGACCCAAACTGAATCATGGCCAGCGGCAGAAGACAATAATCGGGCTTAGAAGGTAAATAAGAAGGGAACAATTGCGAAGACAAATTGAGGTGGGAATAAATACAATAATAAAATTGAATTGGGTGTTAGAAATAATTCATAAAGTTGAGAATAGTAAGATATAATAATTTGTAAGTTAAAGAAGGTAAAAATAAAAGTCTGGTAAATC